CTCTCAGTGGTGGTCTCCATGAAGAACTGCCTCAGTTCTTCATTCTCGCTCTTCGTTCTCTCGGCGTCCGAGAGAATGCATATTTGCTCGATGCGTCCGTTGTGCAAGTCACGCGCGAAGCGCTTCCAGCTCAGGACTGGAAGCGACGTCAACTCCGACGCTTGCGTCGGAGGGTTAGCGAGAGTCATCTCCCTGTACCGGAACCCGGCACAGGTACGCGTCAAGACGTTCAACGTCTCGACGTCCGGCTTTTCAGCCTCCGTCTGCCCGGCAGACATTTCTTGTAGCGTCTCGGCCCCAGGCCGAGACTTGCGCAGCGACCTTCGCATGCGCCGTATTCTTGTTTTGCGGAGCCCGGCTCCGCTTGGTTCTTGACCTCGTCCAGGCCCAGCCGTGGACGGGTGTTATTCTTGTATTCTGCCGGCGGGTTCATCCCGCGGGCGAGCGACTTCAAGCCCGGCTTGGTCGCCCGGCGCTTCGTCGTGCAGCCCGGCTGCACGCCAGCATGCACGTTTTTCCTGTGCGGGACGTTTGCAACCATCCGCACCGCCTGCAGCGTCGGCTTCCGGAGCCGACACGCCATCTCCACCTCGACGCTTGTTATTGGCGGAGCCCTCCATTACGGAGGGTGCGTCGGCTCCCCGAGCCGACGAATCAAATTCACCCAAGCCATCGACTCCCGGAGTCGACGGCGTCTCGTCACCTTGGCTCTTATTATTGGCCCAAAACTGATCCAATCAGATTCGCGTCAGTCTCCACGGCTGAGGCGTGTGATTCGTCTGCGTTATCCGCACCCCTTGAGGTCGGAGACTCTTCCTGATTCGCTGAAAAGCGGGTGTCGATCTCCGAGATCAACACATTTTCTCCTTCAGCCGTCGGCGGCGACGCCGACGCTTGCTGCTCATGCGCGCGTGCTCGCGCGCGCCCAGGGCGCTCCGGGACAGCGGCATTAGGCGCTGTCTCGATTGGGGAGTCGCGCGCACCTGTCGGTGCGTGCGTAGCGGCAACAGGGCCATCTCTCACTGTTCCGCTGTCGCGACCGAAGCGCACGAGAGTGCGCTTCTCCCAATCGATGACTGGATCATGCCGTGCAAGCCACGGCATGCCCAATACAATGTCAAACTTATCGTCCAGATCCAGGACGATAAAGGTCTCGACAAACTCTTGATCTTCATACGTGAAGCGCACGCGTACCATGCGCTTCTCGGTCTTCACGACGGCACCCGTTGTCGTACTTCCAACATACTTCGAGGTATCTTTAAATCCTCGAAGTCAAGCCTTGATAGACTTCGCAGTCGAACAAAGTTCTTCGACGCGCCAGAATCTACCAAAGCACGGAGAGAGCCGCTTGCTCTCATCGAGTTCACATTCAGGATGACAAGGTCAGGCTTGTCATCTTGGCTCTTGCAGTGAGAAGGGTCCTCACTCCTCAGTGTCGCATGTCCGAGTTGGACATGCGTGACTGCTTCACCAGTAGGGCGCCCCGCGCCTACTGGGTTCCAGCGTTTTTTGTTTGGTTGCGACGGTGCCCGGCACCGCCGCGATAGCCACCCTGCTGGTGCACGGGGGCCGTGCACTCCCGAGCAAAGTGACCGACTCTACCACAACGGTAGCATCGCACATTGTTTCCCTGCGACTGCTGGGGTCCAGCAGTTGCAGCACTCGAGAGGTCCATGGGTTCTGGGCCTCCCGTCCTCACTACCGGGCGTGACTGTGGCCTCGGCACATGTGCATGCAGCTTAGTCTGCCGCAGGCTAAACTCCTCCTGCATTGCAAGAGTAATTGCAGCTTCGAGAGTACTCGGGTACTCACGGAAGAGATAGGTCTTCACAGGCCCATCTCTCAGTCCCTTCATGAACGTGACGACCTTGGTCGCCTCGTCGATCGGGTTGGTCACGATGTTCGAGACCAAGTACCGTGCTCTCTGAGAGTAAGCATGGACATCATGCTTGCCCTGCTGCAGGTCGAGGAACTCCGCCCTCGACCGGAACTCGTTTTGCGGTGGCTCAAACGCTTGTCTGAGCTCTTCCTTGAAACCCTCGTACGTGCTAAAGCACGTAGGATCTGAGAGTCGGCGTCCATACGCCCAACTTCTTGCACGTCCGCCAAGACATGACATGGCGAACGCAACCATCGACAACGGGTCGACGATACGTCGAGCCGCAATGGTAGTGTCGAGTTCGACAAGCCAACGGAGGAGAGGTTCACCCTCTCTTCCGACATAGTTGCTCACATTGAGCTTTAGCAATTGCGCGCGTGGTGTCGTCCCGGACGGCACCGCGGTAGTAGCAGCAACATCGCGTTGCTCCGTCAGGATGAACCCCAGAGCAACACCGTGTTGCTCTGTCGGCGTTAGCGTACGCAGCATCGTAGCTACAGCCGCCTCACCAATGACTGTTGACAGTCGTTGGAGGGCCTCCCACTCTGGATCCGACAGGTGGGGACAGTCAGCGCGTGCAACGTGAGTTGCAGGCGTAGTGGAACTTTCCATGGGCACCTCTGTATCCATGGGATGGTTCTCAGCTCCGCGTTCGTGCGGTGACGTACGAACTCAGGTAGTCGGTCGTTGGACGGACCAACAAGTGCTACCAGGTGTAATGGGCCTACTTTGGCCCACTACTACGGCTTACACGTATGCGCACGTGTATGAGGAAGCGTATGTTTCTTTTATTTGAGTTAAGTATACTCGAGATCCACGAGTATACTTTAAACAAGATAAAGACTCCAAGTAGCGTGTTTTGGTAAAAGATGAGAACTGCTATTTGTGTTTTATGTTTCTGACTTCCTCTAAATGTAATATTCTAAACTAGGAATCTGCCAACGGCAGAATTCCAATGCTATGCATGTCACTCATTGGCTAAAAGATGCTGCTCTCAACCAATAGGAATCCTAAGTCTCTATGGACCACCCGTCGTGGTGATCCTAAATGTATGTAGCCTTTGGTGTGTCTACACTAAGGACGAGAAAGTCTTTCGAACCTCTAACAGACGTCGTGTCTGTTAGAGTTACAAGTGACTGTAGCCACTTGTGCGTGTAACCCCGTTACATGCACCTTCGGCACTCTCGTCTTCCTGAACGTCATCGCCGGATTTACTGCTTCAACCTCATCTTGGCCTTCATCACCGACTTCATGTTCACTCTCAGGTGCATCAGCAACTTCTTCCGTCATCGGACGCAGAAAGACTCGTGGGTGCATCAACGTCGGCTCGCCGACCTCTGGACTCGTCATCTTCGTCAGCAACGGCATCCTCTTCAGGTTCCTCGTCACTGCTCTCATCCGAAGAATCCTCATCAGAGCTCGTCTCGGCGGGCCCAACAGCTTCATCATTTTCACTTGAAGATACACTCTCCAAATCAACCTCCACTAGACTCTCCTGATCGCTGTCGTTTTCGTCATCCTCGCTATCCCCCCCTTCAACATCATCTTGTTGACCATCGGGCCATCCATGGTCCACAGAGCTGGGGATCGAGTGACGATCACGATACAGGATGTCCTCGTGAACTTGCACGGTGTACACGACGCGCGAGACGCGATACTGCGGGAAGTACACCTTACACGCCATGCAATCCTCCAGATAGCCAAGTAGAAATCCAGCCTCACTTGTATTTGCCATCATCTTTCTCAGATGCTTTGGGATGTGCGCGTACACTAGCGACCCGAACGTCCGAATCCGATGCAGGTCCGGCTTCTTGCCGAAGAACAGCTCAAACGGCGTCCGCTTCGTCCCCTTGCAGAGAACTCGGTAGCGAACGTAAGCTGCGTTCCTAAGTGCGTCCGGCCAGAAGCTCTGCGGAAGCCCCGAGTGGCTCAGCATGGCCTTCTTCGTGTTCCGCAATGTCTGAATTGCACGCTCTGCATAGTTGACCGAAGACCCATCCGGTGCCACCGGGACCAAACTGATGCCTTGTTCTGCACACCAGGCCTTCGTTGCCGTGCCCAAGAACTCACCTCCAGTATCCGACACAACACGCTTCACAGGTTTCCCAATCTGCTGCTCAGCCCACGTCACGTACTGCTGAAAGTAGCCCGAAGTTGCAGCCTTGTCAGTGAGCACGTACACAGTCATCCAACGCGAGTAACCATCTACAATCACGAGAGCCTGCGTGTAGATCGTGCTATTCTTCTTTCCAGGATCCATCAAGTCCATGAAAATTGTTTCATTTGGTTCATCAAAACCGCGCTCAAATCGCTTGTTACGCTTCTTTCTCTTCTGCTTTGTCAGCTCACAGGTCTCGCACGTCGGAAGCTCGCGGCCCTTAAGCAGCATCCCACGGACAAGCTCCTTGTCAACCATCTGCTTCAAATGCTGTGCGCAGGTGTGGCCGAGCCGCGCGTGCCACGTGCGAATGTTCGCCACGCCATCGGCGTTCGTGAAGTTGGCCATCTCTCCATACTCCACAACTTGTCTCGGAGGGTCCTCAATCCATGCATTGTGCGCCTCAAAGTCCCACACATTGTTTGGGGCAGGTTTACTTCGCAACACCAGCGTATCATTCCGATACACCTTGCATTCACCCGTCCTGCCGTTCTTCCGCTCGACGAATCCTTGCTTCATCGCCAAGCCAACGGAGTACAAGTTCCAGTTCGCGTTCGGCACAAACAACGCTTCCTCCAAAAAGATAGTCGTCAGAGCACCGTCACCCACATCCGTCGCGAGTGCAGCAACTCCGACTCCAAGTGCCGGTGACTGCCCACCTTTCGCAAACCCTTGGATGTCTCCCACAGGTTTTTCAAACTCATGGTAGGCAACAAAATACTCCTTAGCGCCCACAATGTGGGTACTCGCGCCCGTGTCATAGACCCAGCGACGGGGGTTATAGCTCGCAACCTCCACCACCTTCTCCGACTCGTCCTTGGCGTCCGAGTAGTTACCCGCTCCAGAGGCACCCGTCACCTCATGCACCTCGCACTGCGACTGGCGAGAAACAGCACTCGAGTGATCATCACAACGAGAGACTGACTTCGAGACGTCAGCCCCGCTTGCCTCCTTTTTCCCAGTCAATTCCGGACAGTACTTCTTGAGGTGCCCCTTTTGATTGCTCTGAAAGCACTCCAACTTGCTCTCAATCCCATCGGGTTGTTGCTGGCGCTGCTTCGACTTGTGTTTCTGCTCCCAGATTTCCCAGTCTTTGCATCACCCCACCCCCACCAGCACGTCCACCATTATTCTCCACACGACCACCCGAAAACTCATAGCTCTCCTCCTTCAGCTGCGACGCTGCCACGAGAATCAAATCACGCACGTCGTCCACAGAATAGGAAGAACCAGGAGTCAAAGTAACCATCTCTGTTAATCGCTGGTACTTAACGTGCCGTGGAAGGCTCTTCAACATGGCGTCCACCATGTCCACATCGTGCACGGTGTACTTCATCGTCGCGAGACGGTCGCGGATGTCGTACAACTTGCCCAGGTGCAGGTTCATGTCGTCGTCCCGCTTCGCCCTGGTGCTCCGCACCTGATGCACGAGCTGCCGCTGTTGGTGCACGAACAGCGTCTTGTTCGTCGGCGCCTCAAACATTTCCTCAAGTGTCTTCCACATCTCGGTACCGGATGCCTTCCGCATCACGCGCTGGGCCAACGCCAGCGAAACCGAGCCGAGGATCAGGCGCTTGATCGTGGCCTGCCTGGTTCTGCTTCCAGTCCTTCTTCTCTGTGTCCGTCACCGTCGGGTCCGGAGGCTTCGCCTTCCCGGTCGCGATGTTCTCCAAGTCCTCCTCCTCGAAGAGACTCATCATCAGGGCCTTGTAGAAGTCCCAGTGTTCCCCGTTCCAGTTCACCGGAACGCCCTTCGTGTTCACCTTCAGGCCAGCCTTCGGCTTCCCGTTCCCGACATCACTGCGCGTGTCCAGAGTCTTCTCAGCGATGCCTATTCCAAATGCCTTGGGCTCAGTACCCTGTTGGAATGCGGCACCACAAAGCTCACATCACAAAATGCAACTTGTTCACTTGGAGGTCTTTTGGGGAATGACCTCAGCCAAACTCCTTCTCCCACTCTCCTAGACATGCATGCGACCGTTAGTCTACACTACCTCAACTGCCTCGTCCCGTATCTGCTCCAGCAGCAGTTCCCTGCAACTTCAACAGCAGCAACTTGCAGTGTTTTCCAACATGCATAGTATACTAAGAAGCAATCTATGTCGAAGCTCATGCCAAGTTTGCGAAACGCGCGACAAGAAATTCATAACTCTGTGCTTATATCACGGTTTTGATAAGCATATCAAGTACCTAATCACACACATAGGCTATGTGTAGCCTAGAATTGGCAGTTGAGCTGGTGGTTGATTTTAAAGTCTCCAACTCCTAATGCGGGGCTGGGAACTTGCTATGCAAAAGTTCAAACTCGTGGAAGTGTATGATACACTGTATCTCGGGAAGCCTTTCGTTGCATGGTTGAAAGTCATTGAAGCGGAGTATAACTATCCATCAATCACAAAAGTAGTCTCAATTTTGGCACTTGTTATTACTAGAATAGCCCCCATCACGCAGAACCAGGCAGCCGACGTCATGCCCCTGAGCCGCCTGGCCGCCTGCCGAGCGTAGTCACCGAGCGATCCCCAGACGAGTGCAAGCAGGCAAGAGGCAGCCCCATGTACCATGTGGCCGAGATGGTGCGCGACGCGCGGCGCGACATGGCGGAGCGGCACGACGGCGCGGCGCCGCCCGGCTTCGTGTGGAGCACGCTGTCGGCCTTCACGCCCTTCCCGTTCCTGCTGGCCCTGGGCGGCCAGATCTCCAGCAGCCTCGTGCGCAGGGCCCCCGACCTGGTGAAGCGCGCGGCCGGCGGCGCGCGCGACTGCGTGGTGGACGCCGCCACGCACACGCACGAGCGCGTGGTGGAGCTGCGCCTCACGTGCACGCGCACGGGCCAGCGGCTGTTCTACCGGGTGAAGCTCAACGTGGAGACGGCCAGACTGCCCGGCCCGCTGGCCCCGCTGCAGACGCAGGTGGCCGTGCCGTTCCTGCGCGGCATCGAGGGCCTGGCCCAGTTCGTGACGAGCGAGGAGCTGCCGGAGCTCTACTTCGTGGCCAAGAACTCGATGAGGCGCAGCTTCTTCCTGCGCCACGTGGTGCTGCCGCCCCTAGGCGCGGCCGAGAGTGTCGTGAGGTACGTCGTCATCTTCCCCAGCCACATTGTGTTCCCGTCCAGGGCCGAGATCGAGGACCGGACGGACCTGTTCCTGGAGGGCAGCACCACGCGGGTGCAGGCTCTGGTGGAACACTTGTACTCGGCCACGGAGGTGCTGGACCAGCACTTGAGCATGGTGCAGTGGAACATCCTAGGCCGAGGGCCATACGAGTCCCTGAGTGCGTCCCGACGCGGTGAAGTCATCAGGTCGGTGCACCAGAGAATGAGGATCATCGCGTCGCACTACAAGCTGTTCGAGTTCCTGGCCACCATCAAGTTGCAGAACGAAATGCTCTACTCGGACCTGCAGCACGAGTTCCCTGACGTGGGCGGCGTCCCTCTCACGCCCGAGCAAGTGGCCGCCAACAAGGTGCTGACGGCCGAGCTGGCCGAGCAAGATGCGAATGCCTTCCCCATCTGGTTCTACAAGAAGCTCGACATTAACAGCGGCAACGGACAGGTGTTGCCCAGTGGCTTGAACGGACGCAGCAAGGCGACTTCGGATGCGAGTAGCCCGGTGAACTCCAGCCAGTCTGGCCCGCCTGGGTCGAACACCACCACTACTGGGGCGGGAAGCTCTGGCGGCTGGATCGAGTTCCCCGCGCACGAAAGTCGTCGCCTCGAGCGGAAATTCAGGTGGTACCAACAGCAGAAGAGCAAGGTGCCGGGCCCTGTGGGGCCATCCAGTGTTGTTTTGGTTGACGAGGGCCGCCATGAGGTGGATTTGGAGAGCATGCGTATGACCCCGGTGTACTGGCCAGCTCTGGAGGAAATCGTTGTTTGTCGTTCGCGTTGGGTATACGCCCAGCGCAATTATGGTCTGGCCCCATACAACCCTGAAGCTGCTGCAGTTTTGGAGAGCGCTTTCGTATATTACTTGGGGCTGTACCCGCTGGAGAAACAGCGTCTCATGGATATCGAGGCTCAGAAACCACGTGGATTCTTTAGCTCTCGTGCCAGCCTCAGTGAGGCGGTTCTGGCTGCTCGCGTGGAGAAGGACTGTACGCTCAGCATCCCGGTTGAAGGGCATCTCGTTGAATTTAAAGGCGCGCAAGACATCATGCAGTACAAGCGCCTGCTGGCTGGCACCACCCCGTTCACAAGCAAGCGTCGCGTGTATCGAGGAGACCCGCGCGTGCGTGCGGATCCAACAACTTTGCAGCTCTGGAAGGATGCCATGGTGTGTGATCCAGCCACAGGAAAGCCGCTCAAGGTCACTGAGGATGACAAGGACATTGAAGAAGAGATTGAACACCTCGTGCTGATCGTGCATGGTATCGGCGATGCGCTCAAGACACTTGATCTGATTAACGTTGTGACCTTACGCTCCATCATCGATTGCGCCACGACACTGCGCGAGTTGAATCGCGAGGCCCTTCGCTCGGCGCACTTCGCTCACTTGGGAGGCGAGGATGCTGATCCCGAGTCCATTGAAAGTGGCAAAGTTCCAGCACACCGACCGCGCGTGGAGTTCCTGCCCATTGAGTGGCATTCGAAGCTGCACATGGAGGGCCTGGACCAGCTCATCCGCGACGTGACACTACCGGCCATCCCCAAGCTTCGTGAACTGGCCAACGACACGGTCCTGGATGTGCTCTTCTTCATGTCGCCGCTGTTTCACCAGGTCATTTTGGACGAGGTGGCCAAGGAGATGAACCGTGTGTACACATTGTTCCAGTCGCGACACCCGGACTGGGCGGACTCAGCTTCTTCCCGTGCTGCCGAATCCAAGCGGAAGAAAGTGTCCATCATTGCTCACTCGCTGGGTTCCATCATTTGCTTCGACATTCTGAACCATCAGCAGGTATACATGCAGCCACAGAACGCCCCTTGCACGGACGATGAAGGCAGCAGCAGCGACGAAAAAGAAGACGCGGTGGTCGAGAATGGCAACGAGGGCAAGGATGAGAGCAGCACCAGCAGTGATGACGATGCCACCGAGGATGCTGAAGCGAATGGGATTATGATGGACAACTGCAACGTGCTTGGATTTGATGCTGCCCTGTCGAATATGAAGCTGAAGCGGCGCTCGAGATCCATGTCCGAGATGTCCACTGCGAACGGAGTATCGAGAAGCTCGCCTCGAGCGTGGCGTCAAGAGATCATGAAGCAGGAGAAGCAGGAGTCAGCTCGGCGCGCATCTCCGCGGACTCGTCGCACAGGACGGAAATCTACAACGCCCAAGAAGACGAAGAAGCACAAGATCCATGGGTCTGCTGCTGCTGCCCCAGCTGGAGGCTGCGGGGTTGTCCCGCTGGTACCGAAACTTGCGTTTGATGTGGAGGATCTCTTCTGCTTCGGCTCGCCCGTGGGCCTGTTCCTGAATGTTCGAGGCCAAAAGCTGGATCGCGACTTCCAACTGCCGCGCTGCCGTCGATTGTTCAACATTTATCACCCGTACGACCCGGTGGCGTACCGCATCGAGCCCATTCTGAACCCGGCGCGCGCGCACTCGAAGGCTGCGATTATCCGCACGTTCGAGGGCAAGCTCCGCTTCCAGTACCAACTGCGCAACTCGTTCCGGGCGATGTGGGCCTCACTCCGACAATGGCGTCGCGACTTCGAGCACCAAGTACTAGCCGGAGCGCACAGCGTGGGGCTCGTGGAAAGCCCCGCTTCAATGACCCCGTTGTCCGATGCGCTGGCGGCCGTCGCGCAACCGTATCAATTGCAGCGGCGTCCGGACGAGGCCCAGGAAGAGCAGCAACGAGAGGAGCGCGAGGGCGACGCAAGCACAGAGAACGTGGCGGTCTTCGGTCGGTTGTGTCAGGGGCTGCCCATCGACTACTCCCTGCAGGAAAATGAGATTGAGATCGCGAACGAGTATTTATTTGCCCTGACGGCGCACGTCATCTACTGGGCCAACCGCGACGCGAGTCTGTTTGTGGCGCAGAAGCTCATTCTGGAGCCGGCTACCGATAATTGGCCCGGAAGCAGCGAGCAAGACGCAGCAGCGGAGCTTCCGGGGCGAGTGGTTAGCGCGTTTGAGCAGATCAGCAGTGAAGGAGCTACCGCTGAAGCGGTGACGGAGAAGTTGCGTGAGAAGGAGGAGGCGACGGCATCGTCGGAGGTGTCCTCGGGCTCCGATGGCGAGATTGCCGCCTCGCTTCGCCGAAGAAGGCAAGGAGGTGTCACTACTGCTCCGTAGGACCCAGAGCTAGCTCGCAGTAATTAGTAAGGATAAGTAAGTATAAGCGGTTGTTCGACGTCATTCGACTTCAATGTTGGTCGATCTGATAGCGATCGTCTTGCAGCGCTGCCGTAAGCGCCGATTGTGTCGCACGCCACGATATTGTCAAGAATTGCCGTGTCCGGCTCCACCGAGACACCATCAAGAAATCGTGCAGGCACCAACACCACCAGTGCACAATTGGTATCCGTGCGAGTCGTCCAGAGCATGGAGCAAATCCAGCTCCGTACGCACGACTTCTTGCACTTCGAACACCGCAGTGGCGTTCGCGCCGACGTTGATAGACCATTGTAGGCTATCAACTTGATAGCGCCCGGACTTGGATTCGTCGGCCGCTGATCCGTACAGGCGTCCCCGGCCTATTCGCCACACTGGTACTTATGATGTTTGCGAATCAACAAGATTCACGCGGTCTGAACATAAATGAGTATGTACTGACTTGCTAAAAGCTTAGCTCAAGAATACTGGAGGTATTCTCGCAACGTGCCACTTGTCGCAGTAGGTCTCGCTGTACACTCATCTAAATCAATATGCTTGCAGAAGTAGCGCGCAAATCTTGAGAGCTTGTTGTACTTCCTGTGCGAGGTACATCAAAATATACAGCCGGGACTAGCCCGGGGACGCCTGTATCATCAATCGCTGCCATGGCACGCTCGTGCATGGACTCCATGCCATGGAGAGTATCCTCCGGATGGGGCTTCAACGCTCCCTGTAAATGAGGCTCATGGTGAAGCCACCTCAGCCCGGCTGCGCCAACGGGGTCAGCGCATCAAGCCACTCGCCACTGTGTTGCAGTCTGCAAAGCTCTGGCCGCGGCTCGCTCGCCGTGTTCGCACTGCGAACTTCGCAGCGCAAACGCATCGTGAGGTGGCACCGGGATTTGCACGACCGTAGAGGGCGGGCGGCTCGACTAAGGAGGCGTCTTCGTCTCTGGCCATTCTCTTCCTCGCCATGTGCTAGGCGAGCGAGCAGTGCTGGACGCCGTCGCGGTGGCCAAGACTCGAGCCTCGAGCCGCACACGGAGCAATCACGCCAGCGGGGCCGCGCACGAAGCGGGATCTGCATGTCCACCCGGACTGTTTGACGGCGACGGTCTCTTGCTCTTCAAGCCGGCTTCCCTCGGCCAGCAGTCGCGATTTGAGCGGGGGCCACACGTTGAAGGCAGGTGAGCCCGCGAGTGATTTAAGACGATCCGCGCGGCGAGCATGCAGCCGTGGCCTCGGCCTTGGTGGGTCTTGAGCGCGTCGGGCGTGGCGTGGCGGCCTGAAGCACATGATCGTTACTTCCCTTCCGAGCGGACGACTGGCCATGTGGGGCTGGAGGATGAACTGCGCCGGCCGCGATCCTCGCTAGCGGAGACCTTTACGAGCGCGACTTACATTAGCTGCGCGCTCGACACTCGAGCCGCGGATACGGCTGCTGGCCAAGCAGAAGCGATCCTCAGCGGGAAGAAAGCGATGTACGCCGTCCACCGGGAAACACACCGCAAGGATAATCGAGGCCGTGTTCGGACGGGCGATGGCCCCCCTTGACACCTTGCTTGACTGCAGCGGCGATGACGTTGTGCCCCAGTTCCCGGCACACACCACTTCCCGCAGTGTGCAGACGTGGGATCCAGCCATTTGACGCACCGAAATGGCCGGCTGGCTGCAGACGCTGCTGCGATAGCGGGGAGCAACGACACCATGGAGCTCGATAGCAAGCGAGACTCGGCAGGGCGATGGTGTCGTTGAGGTCCACGCAGTTGCGGCGGCGTCGGCAGTGCTCCTGCGCATTGCAGGCCTCCGGCCGAGCGTTGGCGGATCAGCGCTGCGCGCGTAGATATGCAACTTCAACGGCTCGGTTTTGTCTTATCAGGCATTCTATTTCTTCTAGCGTTGAAACTCCAAGGGGCGCAATCGATGCCGGCTCGGCATGATGGGTTGGGAGATCCAGTGTACAGACACATCAGGGGCTCCGATCCCCGATCCGACTATGAAGGCGCTGCTCGGCCAGCGTGGCGCCCAGCTGCAGGCCGAGGCAATGCCGGAGATGGCGAAGTCTTTCGAGGCGCCATCGGCAGCAGCAGCAGATCGACGGCTGCTGCTGTTGCAGCGATGCTGTGCTTGCAGTTGGCCGGTTACTAGCGGCCGGCCGCGGATGTAGAGTAAGGTACTGATGCGGTCTCCCCTCCTCAAGGCTCGAGGTTCGAGCGCTCCGCGACTTGGAGCCTCTGCAATGCTCGGCCGCGCTCGGCAGTCGCAACCGAGCTTGCCTGCGAGAGATGGTGCCTGCCGCGCTCTCTCGACTGGCGCGCGCGCCTTCGGTCCGGAGGTCTGCGGCGCGGAGCAAGCCCGCGATGGGGGCGGCGTGTGTGTGACGTGGCGTGGCGCTGCCGGGGCCCGGCCACCGCACGCGCCGCCCTTCTCTCTCTCGAGGTGTCACGCCCGGCTGTCGGCGCTCGGCCGGGGAAGAGTGTCCTCCCGGGGGAGGCTCCCCAGCAGCGGCCGATCAGCAGGAGCGGCACCAGCTGACTGGCTCCGTGATGCTCATTTCCTCTCTTTCTCCGTCGGAAGCTCGCCGCGCCGACCTGCTCCGCCACGCCACGCCCGCCCGCCCGCCCGGTCGGCGTACATTTGAACGACAGCCCACGCGGCCGCACCGAGACGCTGGCAGCCCGACCGCGTTCCGGTGCTCGAAGACCACGACACCACAGGGTAGCAGAACAGACGCAGACGTCCAGAGCCATGGGCGCGCTTCAACTCGAGCGCGCGTGGCAGCCGTCCAGACCGCTCGAGGTGATCCCGTGCAGCCCGGACAGCGCAGTTGATGCCGAGGCCGGCAGTCACCGCAGCAGCTACAACAGCAACAACAACAGCAGCAGCAGCAGCGGCCAGGATCCGAGATTTGACTACGTCAACAGCCCCGTGAAGTGCTCGGCCGGCCCCGACCCGGCCAGCGACAACGTGCACCAGACCGGCACGCGCTACAGCTCCAACAACGCCGGCGACGGGCCTGAAAAGACCCGCGACCGCAAGAGCTGGTTCCCGCGCTTCAAGTCCAATTGGCTCGGCACCTTCCGCTCCAAGCAGATGTTCCACTGCTGCGAGTGCGCCGTGGTGCCGCCTGCCAACGGCAGCTCGCTCTCGAGCCAGGCCGGCCGCTACAAGGGTGCCGAGGGCAAGCACTGCCGCTGCGGCAAGGACCAGTGGCACCTCGCCAAGTCCGTGGAGGAGACCGAGTACAACCGCCGCATGGAGATCAGCAAGGCGCTCGGCGGCATGCGCTACGACGAGGCTGTGCTGCGGTTGCGCAGCATGGGCCAGTCCGAGCTCGACTTCAAGCCGTCCAAGCACATCGTCAACCCTGGATCGCCCACGCAGCCGCGCAGCACCCGCGGGTTTGTCCCTGCATCGTCTTCATCGTTGTCTGCGTCAAGTGTCAACCCGCCCAAGCGTGCGCGCAGCGCCTCAAGCGGACCGCTCCCTTCGGCCACTACGCGGGCCTACGCGGCACCACAGCTGATGAAGCCCGAGCTTTCGACGCTGCCCACCATGTCGTCTCAGATGTACGGCTACGAGAACCCGGCCAAGCAGTACGGCACCTATACTCCAGTGTACGGCAACAACGGCATTGAGTACACGCAGGCTGCGCAGCCGCAACACCCCGGAGAGTATGAGCAGCTCACGCAGGCACCGTTTGGTGACGAGGAGGGCTTCGGCGAGCTGCTGCAGGGCATTCTGGAGGACGACCCTCGAGTAGCAGCCAGCGCGGGCATGACACTCAGTCCGAACCAGCCCGGCACGTACGGGGCCCGCTACGGCTACTACACCGCGCCCCCAGCTAACGGTAGCGTGGCACCACTGAAGCGCACGATGAGCATGCCCTCGTACGCCATGACGCCGTCCTTGATGACTTCGCCGCCTCGCGAGAGCGTAGCCCAAGACTATTACGCGGACCCCACTCGCCGGGAGAGCTTGAATCTTGGGGGGAACCAGGCTTCGACGTACGCGAACTACCACCAGCCTGCGCTGCACTACCATCAGCAGCAGCATCCTGTAATGCAGCAATTCCCGTACCAACATCAGCAGCAGGAACCGCTGTCCAACATGGCGACGGCCACTTCAACTTCCTTCTCAACATGAACTTTTGGCCGCTCTGCAGCGGCGTATTAAACTAGTAAGTAGTTCAAGTAGCTAACAGGGGGGGGGGGCGCAAGATGGAGAAGACTCTATGTAAATACAAGCGTGCCAGTGTGTGCGTTGTTTGACTGTCTATTGGATCACCGGCGTTCAACCTCCACCAGTGCCATTGCTTATGCCTTCGAGGGCACAGCCACGAACTCGCGGCTCTGCGTGAGCTTGTCGTCGGGCTCCAGCAGGAAGGACTCCAGCAGAGCGTTGAAGCGCTCAGCTTCGGACCGCACGAGGTCGTTGCCGCCCTCAGACATCACTTCCAGGCGCGAGTGCATGATGCGCTCGCTCAGGTACTCGCTGTGGAACGGCGGCACGAACGTGTCCTGTGCACCGGACACCACCAACGTCTTGCACTTGATGTAGGGCAGTTGGCCGCAGTACAGGTCGCCACCGTCCTCACGCTCCACTTGACGCAGGGCCTCCACCGTCTCTGCAGTAACAATTAATCAGGCAGGTATATTACATGTCAGCCAGTACATTGGAATCGACCTCGAGTTCATGGCAGCCGACGACGCACCAGCCCACTTTTCCTGCAGGTCCGCGCCGTACTTGGCTTCGGCTGCCTCGCGCATCTCCTGGGGCCACGAGTTCACGTCCTCGTGCTCCTCCATGTCCTCCAAGTCCTCGTCGCTCACGAACGCCTGCATTACGAAAAGCACGAAATAGGTTGTTCTCCTCAGTCTCCAGAGCTATCCAGTAGCTGTTCTAGAGCTGCGTACGTTGCCGTTGATGAGCACCAGTCGCGACACCCGCTCCGGGTACGTGGCCGCCAGCACGGCGCTCACGTTGGCGCCGTGGCTGCAGCCCAGCAGCGAGAACTGCTCCAGCTCCAGGGCGTCGGCCGCGCGCAGCACCTCCTCAGCGTCACGCTCGAGTCGTCGGCCGCCGAACTCCCGCTCCGGCAGCCGCGGGTCCACGCCGAAGAGCGCGAAGCTACGCGTGAGCTGCGCGCTGGCGAACTGCAGGCGGAAGTCGCGGGCCACGGAGCCGAAAGCGGTCGGCAGACATAGCAGCGGCTGCTGCTCCGGGCCCACGGAGGTCGGCGCCACGGCGGAGAGCGACGCGCCTGAAGCGCCCACGGGCAGTTGGAGGCTGCGGAAGCCCGCGGGGGCGCTGGAGAAGCGACGCAGCAGCAGCGGGCGGAGCGGCAGCATGGTGGCAATAATGGATGAGAGCACAATTGGTAATGGAGCCCAAGCGCAGTGACGCGCGATTATGATGGGTGGAGTGGTAAGGTAAGAAACCAAATTAGTGCATACATAATAGGAGAGCTTCCTGGCGTTGGTATTGGGGAAGGGAGCTACGTCCTCCAGACGAGCACGGACACGCCCGAGGCCACGCTGAAGTAGACGTAGGTCTTGATCTCGTGCGTCACGTAGGCGCCGAAGGAGGACCCCACGACGCAGTTCCAGCCGCGGCCGTACTCCTTCTCCATGTTGCGGCGCACGAACTCGGCGATGGTGGAGAAGGTCTTCTCCGACTGCGCGGGTCGTCGTAGTATCAGCAGCATAAACGCAGGTCGGCAACAAAGCAAGAGAGTTGTTAGTGGCCGAACACAGTGTCTGAAGTCCGGGGAGGGGGAGGGGGGAGATGCCCCTCGACCAGCCTGCACGCACCGTGACTTGCAGCTGGAAGGCGTCGCGCGCCGTGCTCAGCGCCTTGTCGAGCATGGCGTCCGTCATGTCCTCGGCGAACACGACCGTCTTGTAGAACTTGTCGTTGCTCTTGCCTGCCATCGTTGGCGCCCTGGGGATCGATGCGAAAGCAGATATGCGTGCGCCCCTTCGCCGACACGCTTTCTACAGTCGCAAATGGATGCTGCTCAGGAGACCCTGAGCCCAACGGAGCAATGGGCTGAGCAAAGAGCTCTTTTCGTCCTTGACAACATTTGTCGAAAGCTTTCAGCATTTAATACTGAAAGCGCTGTTCTCGTGCCAACTTCGCTATTAGTCCGTTGCCGGAATCGATCTGCCTCAACGCCACCACACTTCCGGTCGCCTCAATTTCAGGTCACTGGAGTCTAAATGCTGCCAACCTTGGCGGCGTACAAAGCTTTTTGTCAACAGGTGTACTGCTGAAAAACGAGCGGTGGCCATTCCGGATCGCTGACGAAAGGAAGGGGCTCATCTCGGTGTGGGTGGGGTGCGAACCCGCTGAGCTGGTGCTGCTAAGGTACATTGCAGAGCACTAGGAACGCGCGCAGAATGGTTGCACTGCTTCGAGCGCCGAAGGCGGCAGTCGAAAGGGAAAAAAGGCAACTACAACGACCTTCACTCTGTGTGCATCTTTGCCGTAATCACATCGACCCGTCAACAGGTCAACAGGACGAGATGACAAAATGCGCGCGGGTGAGAGGCTTTGCTCAGGCTCCGGCGGTGATTCACACCCGCTGCGTTGCAGCCACGGATCCAGGATATGATTCCACGCCTGCCTCATGGATGCGTATTATGGAATCATCATGCTTCGCTACAGTAGTGCAAAAAGGCGACTTCGCATGCAAAAATGACTAATTTGAGCTGGAATGACGGCGGTTATCGGCTTATCGAGGCCAAGGATTGGCAACGCAACAACTACGCAGCCCGAACTGCCCCGGAAAACGGTCTCGGCCGCCGAGTTCGTCCCGCGACTATCGTGGCCTTCGTGCCAGCGCAGCAACCGAAGCTGCTGGCCTTCTCGATTTCGTGCTTCGTACGGGATCGGCGCTGGACGCGTGCCCTTGAGTTACAATCGTTGCTGCTGCGATCACGAAAACAGGGTCCACTATTATCGCTGGATGCGACAGCCCTAATAGCTTGACTTCTGTAAACGAGCCCTATATTCACGCCTTCCGCCGATGGATACAGGTAACCGAGTCGGCGGAACGCCGGTCGGCCGTCTCCGAAAAGCTCGGCTCACTTCCAAAACTCCCGTCGGCCGCTCAAGCCAAGTCTCCGCCCGCCCGCCACGACCCCGCCCGCATCCGCACCGGCAACATGTTGGTCATCACCAGCTTCCCTCGCCGCTTCCCAACCGCCAACAAGCGGCCCTTACGTCTGCCGGCGCAATTGGGCCGCGCCTTGTCGACGTCGTGTGCTACGCGCGACTTGCCTCCAGCTGCAGCCGTGGTGGCCTCCGTGAGGCCTGCGTCCCGGTCCTCCGCTCCTTCCTCCTTGCTATTGACCTCGCCGTTGCGCGCCTTGTCCTCGCCCTCTGGCGCTCGGGCCGTGCACTCCAAGGCCCCGACCAGCCAGAGCTCCACGTTCGCCACCTCCTCCGCCGCGCGCGTGCACAACGAGGACGACCACGAGCTGCTACAGCAGCAACAGCACGACGTCTACGATGACAGCTTCCTGTATGGCGAGCGCGCCGACGACTGGTTCACCACGGCGCGCAACCCGCGCACGGACCCGACGTTCCCCGGAGTGGATCGCGCCACCGGCCGCCTCAACGCCATCAAGATGCCCGACCTGCGCTCGTGCTCGCGTCAGGAGATGATCGACTATTTGGACAACTCGTGGGCCATGACGGACGCGCTGTTCGCCACGCTGCAGGGCCAGCGCGCCTTCATGACGCCGCCGCCGCACCAGCTCCGCCACCCGCTCATCTTTTACTACGGCCACCCCACCAGCTTCTTTGTCAACAAGTTCCTCGTGTCGGGGCTCATCGAGGAGCCCGTGAATCCCTACTTCGAAGAGGTGTTCGAAGTGGGCGTGGACGAGATGAGATGGGACGACATGAGCAAGAATGAGATGCACTGGCCGCACGTGGCCGAAGTACTGGTTTACCGTCGCCAAGTTTACCAGCTCATCCGCAGCGTTGTGGAAACCCACCCGGGCCTCGAGCCCGGCCACGAGCAGATCACCGAGGGCAGCCCGCTCTGGGCGTTGCAGATGGCGCTCGAGCACGAGCGTATCCATCACGAGACGACCTCGATGCTTATGCTTGAGCACCCAGACGAGTTCTTCCGGAGCACGTCACTGCTGCCCGACTACCATGAGTCCCTGGCCTACAACAACAAGGAGGTTGCGCTGCGTCCGGTCGCTGGCGTGGACTTCCCCGTGAACGAATTCCTCGACGTGCCGGCCGCAACGGTGCAGATCGGCAAGCCGCGTGACTTCCCCTCGTTCGGATGGGACAACGAGTACGGCCACCGCGAGGTGAACGTGCCGGCCTGCCGCGCCAACAAGTTCCTCGTGTCCAACGGCGAGTTCTTTGAGTTTGTGCGCGACGGGGGCTACCTGGAGCCGTCGTACTGGAGCAAGCTGGGCTGGGAGTGGCGCTGCTTCCGCAACACCAAGTGGCCGGCTTTCTGGGTGCAGGACGGCCCCTCGGGCAGCCACCGTTTCAAGCTGCGCGCCATGTTTGACGTGGTGCCGATGCAGTGGAGCTGGCCCGCCCAAGTGAACCTGCACGAGGCGCAGGCCTTCTGTAAGTGGAAGCAAGCCAAGCAAGCCGACAAGAAGGTGGTGTATCACCTCACGACGGAGGCAGTTCACCAGCTCATGCGTGACGCCAAGGACCGCTCGGCCGACGTCACTTCGGACGACATCTTGACGTTGCCGGAGGGCACCAACATGGCTGATGCAACCGGTAAGAACCTGAACTGGTCCTACATGTCCTTCTCGCCCGTGGACGCGCTGCCTCCCACGGCGCAAGGCTTCCACGACGTCTTCGGCAATGCCTGGGAGTGGTGCGAGGACATGTTTTCGGCGCTGCCCGGCTTCCGCGTGCACCCGTACTACGACGACTTCAGCGAGCCGTGCTTCGACGGTGAACACAACGTGATCATGGGCGGCTCGTTTGCTAGTGCTGGAGACAACGGTGCGTCTAAGTTCGCGCGCTACCATTTCCGCCCTCACTTCTTCCAGCACGCGGGTTTCCGTGTCGTGGAGCAGAAGGTGGATGACGATGGGGCCATCACGTTGGCGACGACCGACGTGAACGCACCGCCGCCGTACGTGAACGGAAACCCGTTCCGCTCCAGCGAGCGCGTGGTGGTCTCCGGAGCTGAGACGAAGGACGAGGTTGCAGGAACGATCTGCCAGGGTCTATTCGAGGACCTTCGTCGCAAGAGCGAGCAGGCGCTCGAGTCCTTCGTGGCCTCGTCGACGTCGGAAACGACGAGCAAGCCCCTTGTGGCTCGAGATGGCACGGTGGCGGCTGCCAAGCTGCGGCGCCAAGTGAAGTGCGGTGAGATTCTGGTGGTGGTGCCCAGCGACGAAGCGACACCTGCAGTGCTGGAAGACAAGTTCGAGTTGCTGGCGACTGCGGAAGTGCCGGTGTTCACGCAGGAGAGCCCTACGGAGGCTCGGGTGACAGCGGAGACTGTGACTGCCTGGAAGAAGATCCGAGACTAAGGGGCAAGGACTTGGGTGCGTGTAATGTATATGCAAAAGCAAATGAAATTCAACTATTGTTTTCACATTTGAGCTCTGTATTATTATTACTTTCCATGTAATGGAGCATCTCAGTCGCGTTGCTCCGTTAAGTAACGTAGGGGTGGACAGCCTGCGATGGAGCCTCCACTCCTAAGCAATCCATCAATGATCATGACCATGTTTTGAAGTTATTTTTTAGGGGGATCCTGTTTCGGGGCCGTAATGTTCAATTGAAGCGTTATTCTTGGAACATACCTTGATTTGGAAAATATCCATAACGTACCCTGTAGCCCAAGTGTATCCTGTTGCCCATGTGTTACCAGTAACGTATCGTGTTTCCGAAGTGTTACCTATCTCCCACTCGTACTCTGTAGCCTACGTGTAGCCTGTAGCCTAAGTGTACCCTGTAGTCCATGTGTGGCTTAACGGAGATTGCGTAGCGCACGGAGCACACGGCGCTGAGTCGCCGGACTCTTGGGTGTCGTCAGCACCATCCACGTCGCCCGCTGAAGCCGGGGTCTTTGTGTTGTGTTGCAGGAATTGCTTCGGAGAACTGGATTTCATACTTCTTTCCGCGACCACGGTTTGGTCAGGTCACGATAAACATTGCTGAGTCAGCAAACAGTTGGCTGCTTAGTGAACGCGAGGGCACGTGGCTAGGGTGTCTTCAAGGTCTTACGAGAAAAGTTCAAGAGCGAAGGTGGCAGGTGAGCCGTGACAGCGATTCCATATCGGGGCGTTTCGTTCCATGGGTGGTTGCAAAGGTGATGAAGAACATTGCATTGGGACGTCAGCGCCTTATCAGTCCAGTCAGCGACACAGTGATCGAAGTGATGCGCGTATCAGAGAACACGTATGCTCAAGTGGACATAGCTACACGGCTGTGCTCATGTGGATTGTGGACGGAGCTGCAATACCCCTGTCTTCATGCGTGTACTGCGTTACAGTCGGTGGGTATTGACCCTCTCAATTCGATATCCGAGTACTATTCTGTTGAGCGACTCCGACTCTGCTACAAAGAGACTGCGTTTCCAGTTGATGCTGGACTCCTGAGCCCTGGTTCGACTAAGCCTCCTGTCATCAAAGCTACCCGTGGTCGTCCGAAGAAGTTGAGAATGCGAAACCGTTCGGAGTATCTAAACAACGACTCGCCCGCTCATTGTAGCCGATGTTCCAAGCCAGGGCATAACGTCCGAAAGTGCGAGCGGCGCGAAAAAGAACGGCTGAAGCGACAGAAATCTCGCGAGGACGCCAGACAGATTGTCGTTTGAGGTAGATGTATGGGAACGCCACACATGGACTACAGGGTACACTTAGGCTACAGGCTACACGTAGGCTACAGAGTACGAGTGGGAGATAGGTAACACTTCGGAAACACGATACGTTACTGGTAACACATGGGCAACAGGATACACTTGGGCTACAGGGTACGTTATGGATATTTTCCAAATCAAGGTATGTTCCAAGAATAACGCTTCAATTGAACATTACGGCCCCGAAACAGGATTCCCCCTATTTTTTAAAATAATAAGGGTCCATGAGTCATGTACACCATTTCAAGGCTAAATTGAGAGAAGTAGCGCTTCCATTTGCAAAATGAAGGGGTAGGTCTGATGGATATACTTGCATTTTTAACGTTACCCTAACCCTGATCAGGCCGCTGTTGCCCTGGTGAATGTGAGGAAATTGAAGCCGCTTCCGGTTTACTTGGGTTTTGTATACATCTTAAGTCAGAAGCAACTTCCGCCTCTAGAAACAACAAAATATGCAAATCCGATTGCATGACTAATCATCGCGCAGTATCTTCGGAGTATTAACCAGTCATATTTGGGGTTGGGGAAGTTCATCTCATGGATTGAATGAAGTTTTGAAAAGGGAAGTCGGTAAACCGGAGTTTCCGCTTCAATGGTTTATTTCTTGTCGGTATGAACTCAGTATACTTGCAATATATGTTCAACTCCGTTAAGTACGGAAAGGGAAGCGCAACGAAGGTGAAATAGTCAACCCTTCGTATTCTCGTAGCCTGATTGGTCAACAGAATAGCTAATTAAAAACCGCGATCTCTCTGTTGGAAGCGCTGCTGGTCCTCCAGTAAGAGCCGCGAATCTACGCTGAGAGCGCGACGAGTTTTAAGTTGAATACAATTTCATCCAAACATCCAACAAAAAAACAGTCGGCGTGATGACCGACCCCACCGCGAGATATCAGCTCAAGAAGCGGAAATTTGAGTTTCGACAAGCACTGTCTGTACATGATGCCCAAGATGAGCAAGATGAATGATGGCTTGAATGAAGACAAGAGGAAGCGTTGTTAACTCTAAGAATTTACGAACAGCTGTTCGTAAGGTTTTAGAGTTCCTTTGGGAACTGACTTTAACGGGAAGAAGTGAGGGAAGATTTAACCTATACTGGAGATCAGAACTTAAAGTTTCCGTCCCAGCCCTCTGGTTGGTTAATCCAGGGAAAGACGAAGCGGTAGTAGTTGGGGTCTCTTCGCAAAATCCAGAATGACCAAATGTATTTTCCGCCGCTGGAGACTCATGTAAAACGGTACCCAATGCGCGCGTCGTCATTCCGCCTTTGACTATCTGTGAGCTACGCTAACCCACTACTGCAGCAGCGGGCACGCGGTGATTTTGTCCCGGCGTGAATCTTTATTCTAGAAGCACACCGGCCCTACTCTTGTCTCGACACGGCGGAAAGGCTGCACGCCTCGCCCAGGTCGTTCTTCATGCGCTGGCGTGTCGCCTCGGCTATGACTTTCTCCGTCTCGTCCCCCATTATGATCACGCTGTACAGCACCCGTTTTTGACCCCGCAACGTGTCTATCATGCATTTCCTATGCGCCGAGCGCGATGCAGTGCTCGCTGCCGGTTTGTCTGGGGAGCACTTCACTTTGGACTTTGGCCGAAATGTTGCGCCTGCCGAACCTATAATGTCCTTCGCAGGACTTTACAAGGCTTGATTTTTTTCCAACGCAGTCGCTGTACCGCGTTCGTGAATTCGTGATGGTAAGCATGGCCGCTGACCCGACAAACTCCCATCATCGCATCAAACGCACTCCAAGAGATCAATGTGCAGTTGGGGCCGCTTCGGTGTATTCGGCCAGCGACTCGCCGTTCTGGTGGCGCGAGCTTTGGTCGATTTCGGGCGGATCGAATACAACTCAATGTCTTAGGCCATGACGCTCAATGATCAAATTGTGCTGCAAACCCCGTTCGCAGCGGCCAAGAGCTGTTGGCCGCCATCCGCACTGTCTCACGCACGTTGAAGCGTTGCAGCTCCCACTCTCGTAGTATCCCGGCGGACATCCGATCCATGCTCCCAGGCCGGTGGTGTAGAGCCGCACAGGTTTGATAGTGTTCTCGTCACAAAACCCTCTTCTTCCATCTAAATACTATAATGCATAACGCAACTCATTATTCGTTGTGTCCCTGATTACAGAATGAACGCGCTATCTGTCATCCGCGACCCTGCTTCTTTTGAAATGTGGTCCGTCCTGCCCTAAAACGAGTAAGATACATAAAGTGTAGCAGCGCCTGAACATGTGTGGTGCGGTTAGCTCCACGAATTGGTGGGAATGTTATTGATGCAAAACGTTACGTACCATGGCACCGGTTGCCAATATTAGTATTCATTGGCTCTGCCACAGGTAGGTTTTGCAGTGACAGCAGAAGGATCGATACTCGATGGCGTCTGTGGCTGCGCAGAAGTCGCGCCACCACGTCGGTGAATCCTTGGACATGTGGCCGGCGGTCTTTCCTATGTACCGATTTGCGTACGCTTGACCCCCGGCGTGTTGCCGAGTTCGGCCGTTTAGTTATCCAAACCAAACGTCGGATGCGATCGAGCAGCCGGATCATGTGGGGGTACCAGAACGCATTGGCGAAGGCGCTCAAGCCGCTAGCACCTGTAGGATGTCATCGTGAGTGTTGCATGCTACCTGAGGTTGCGGTGGCTGAAGGGCAACAGCGAACTCCAGCGACAAGTTTGCGTTGGTGGAGCTGTGAGCCAGGCGCTCGTCGTCGGAAAGGGACCGACAGTGGGGTAGCGACAGGCTTTGCGAGCTGAGACGCACCGGTCTCCGGAGGTCAACCGAAATTCGAGGATCAACAAATTTGCTTATACAGACACGAGATTCGAAGAGGAGTTAAAGCACACAAATCTAAGCATAGTGAGGGGTGTCTGGGCCCTGGCACCCGCGTTGTTGCTGATTTATAGGACGCCGAAGTTGGAATTCTTGTTCATGCAACTTGACAACAGGCCCTTCCACAAAGTTCTTTCGAACGATTTCGCTAAATTGCACTTCAGCATATGTTGCCGATAACCTTAGACTGATCTCAGCGTAACCCAAGGTTACTAACCCTCAGGTCTTGATGAAGGATAACTTCTCAACTAGCGACGGCGCTCGACGCTTAAACCCACTTCCCTGAGCGCACACATGGCCACTGCCGCTGCCCACGAGCGCGCGTAACGCACAGGGGGAGTTTTGAATCCACTCGGGGGGTAACCCTGGCGTAACCCTCGCTGTCGAGTTTTTTCTGTTACAACAGGACGATAACTCGACAAAGACCGATTATGTACAGGTTGCCTTCAACTGGAACAGCATATAGTTGCCTTTGTGAACCAGCCTTCTGAGCGCTAGGATGTGTTTCAGCGTGCAAGTAGCATTGTATCGCGAAAAACTTATCTTCTTCTACATAATATTATTATGTAGAAATAGATAAGTTTTTTCGTTTTTTTCATATATTATATGAACGTTTCTGAAGTATTGTTTTGGCACGAGCACCTTGAAATTGAGCGGTGAATCAGGCGTATGTTTTCCATCTCGATGACAGAGGTCAAACCGGCACGAATCGATTCCAAGCTAGATAACGATGTTACAGACTTATTCACTCCTACTCAGGGGTAGTAAGCATTCATATGCACCTACCCATAAAACCAAATAGGCTGTGCATCGATACTCGACTCAGGGGCATCCTCCGAAATCTCGCCTGATCGCCCGTGAAAAGGGCAAAAATCGATTAAGTACGAGGCACTTCCCAGGTTTTTGTCCTTAAACCACAGAAAAGGACCAAAAAAGACTTGGCGTTTGTATAGAGGGTAATCAGATCCGGGTAAGTACGACGGTGTCATCTATAGCAAATACAGAGACTGAAAAAGAAGGGTGATGATGCCAGTGCATAACAGGCAATAAAACCTCACATATTTGAGTGCCTAATTCGGAGTGTTCCGCATGTTTCTGGTGCGTGTGCTATTGTGTAGAGAGTCGCCAAGTTGGAGCAATCGTGTGGTAACTTTTTGTTATAATATCGCTAATTTTCCACAGAATCACGAAATAAAACCTTATTTCTCTTAAATGTGTGCTTGCATTTGTGTTGTTATTTACTTGCTGAGAGCCGTTATTAGGCCCTGGTTTCTCCGTCGGTGTCTGGGTCTGGGGATAAAATGCAAGCGAGCCTATTGGCTAATCTCAAATCTCCATCGAGATTTGTCGGAGAGTTACCGCTCAGCCAAGCATGTGGCAAGGCTACGTACGTGATTGTAAAATTGAGTATCGTGCTGAGAATTGATCTAGGTTTTACAGCTTGTGATACTAATCAGCTCGTCACATCTAATACGCATCTGGGGATATTATCCTCCATTTATTCTCACCCCCGAGGGGGTGGGAATTATATGCAAATCCTGGGGTTTTCCTGGTTGGGCCCCAGATATCCCCAGACCCAGACACTGACGGAGAAACCAGGGCCTTAGATTGCAAAAAATACTGTAAACAGCGCTCTACTACGGGCTTTACAACGCGGGTACGCTAGGCTTTGGCTTGTTTGTGTAGGCGAACTTATGATAGAAAAACTCAACTACCTATGAATTGGTGGGACAGAGAAGTATGTGGGATGGCTTAGCTGGCATCCATGGCGAACGCACACTAACACAGCTGCAGACAAGTACAAGAGGCTGTTGATACGAAGCCAGCCAGCCAAAGGAGTTCCCCACGTTAGTCGTCCGGTCTGTGAGCAGCGAGCACTTGCGTGTAGCGCTTGGAGTTCATCTCAGCCCACTGGTCCAGTGTGAGCGGCGCGAGATCCGTCAAGTCCTCGAAACTCTGCGAAACAGGAAGAACCATGGCGCTGGTGTCGAGCGTCCCACCAACAGCAGCAGACGTCTCGGCAGCAATTTGCACGTCTTTCGCAAACTCCACGGCGCACTCGAGAAACTGCTGAGTGTGCGCACGGGGCCAGTAGGCAACGCGCCAAAACTCGCGGCCAGGCTGTTCCCCGAGTGCATCCACGCGGCTCAAACGCACGGGACGAGCCTTGTTGGCGTGGCGCTGGAAGGTTCGCTGCACTTCTTTCATGGTCACACTCACGGTGTAGAGCTCTTTGGTCTTCCCGCGGTGCAGGGGGAAGGTGAAGGCGGCAGCGACCAGCGCCTTGGCAGCGTCCTCGAGTGCCATCAAGTACACCCTCGCAGATGCCAGGGATGGCTCCAGGAGCGGCCACATGATGTGCGACCGAGGAGACGTCAACGAGTCTGGCGATTCTCCAGCCTCGTCCTCGTCGCGAGTTTGGGCGTGGTCTGCTTCCAGTCCCGATTCAAACGCAGGTTCGTCGACGGGAGGCGCTTCTTGCTTCTCCTCTTCCAAGCTGCCAAGGCTTTCACTGCCTTCCTCACAGTGCGACAGCGCCAAAAAGTACTCCAGGAAGAGCGGCAGGCGAAGGATGGTGTACGAGACCCCCGAGGTCTTGACGCACGACTCGATCTCCTCCAGCTGCTCGAGGATGGCGCTCTGCTGAGTCGTAGGCGAGCCAACGAAGATCGAACTCACAAGCACCACGCCCCAGGCATTCGCGCGCACTGCGGCGTGGACAACGGCCCGCACCACGTCAAGACAGGCTCTTCCTCCCAGTCGGAGCGGCGGAATGAGCAGCACCACGTCCAGCGACGAGAGCTGCTTCAGCAAGTCGGCCATCGGAGACGGCGGCGCGCCTTCGAGTTGGTAGACGGTTGGTGGCAGCGGGACTCCAGACGCTCTGGTTCGTCCAGAACTACCCGGGGCCGCCTTGACGGTGCACAGCGTGACTTTGGCCTGCTGGAGACCTCCGTCCACGCCTCGACGGTGATGGTGGCCCGGAAGAACAGTCGGAATGGCGCTCTCGCCGACCTCACTCGGTGGAATTGCAGTGGGTGCCGTGATCTGGCTCGCCACAAACTTGCTCACCTCGAGGAACAGCGCCTCGCCCGAGCCCACAACGAACAACTGCACTTGGTTCTGCGGGTTCTTCCCGAACAGCAAAGTGACGTAACGCTGCAGCCACTGGCGCGGAGACATTCGCTCGCGCTTCGTGAGCAGCCGAAAGTTGCTCGTGCTGCGGAATGCATCGGGCAAATGCAGCGAGTGGGGCTCTCCCTGTCGCGTTTGACTCGTAAGCGTGTCTTGGCTGCTCGTCGCATCATCACTACGGACTTCGCTCTCCACAGCTTCTTCGAGGAAGATTCGAAGGCCAACCGTGCCTTGCGCTACTTGCTCGGGCGTGTGCTTTTCCTTCATGACTCGAAGGAAGTCGGCGTCGCTCAACTTGCGGTACTTGATCTCGCGTCCGAGCAATCCCGTCAGGTAATGCGCCACCTCATTCGGCGAGCAGCTCGCACCGGTTCCTCCTGTCAGTCGGTACTCCGTTTCGTACTTGCGCTTCGGGTTCGCCAGCACCTCCGCGGCCGCATACCCCACGTCTCGAACGGAGATGCAGGGCACGTGCGTGTCCAGTCCGAAGCAACCGATAAACCGGTTGGCGAACAGAAGCTCGTCGCGACAGTAAAGCAGCGTCTCCATCAGAAGAGGGATCCGCAGCGACACACAACGGCCTTGCTCGGGGAGTTTGGCTCGAGCATGAACCTCCACAGCCTCGTACCCTTCCAAGGCGGCGACTTCAGTGGGCGTCGCACCAACAGCTTCGGTCGGCGGTCGCTCCTTCGCGTGTTCTTGACGACAACGAGCCAGCAGCTCGGGGGCGGCCAGAATGCTGCTGATCACGACGAGCCTTGAGACTTGCTCGGCCGCTACCGCGTCAACGACGCGCCTCGAAAATCGCACCCCACTCTCTGAAAGCGCCGGGACGAGAAGCACAGCGTCCGCATTCCTCACGGCGCGACGCAACGAGTCCTCCCCGCCCTGAGCGAAGTTGCACTGCACGAGATAGCAGTTGGTCGCATGCTTGAGCCGCAGGACACGCGGGTCCTTGGTGCTCTCGACAGCCGCCACGAGGGCCACGGACACCTGCTCTTGCGCCGCCAATACTTCCATCGCCGAGCGTCCGATGCGACTGGTAGCACCAAACACCACAATCACGCGAGAGCGCATTAGCTTGCGCAGTTGGATGCCCATGCTGCCCCGTGTTTCTTCTCGACGCCTTGGGCTTCACGCCGCAATGGTAAATGGTGAAATGCCAACGAGGTTGCAGTTGGTCTCCTCCTTTTTCTTCTTCTGGGACGAGGAGCTTGGTTCTCCATCCTAACTGGCACATGCAACGAGCACAAAAAGTAGTGACAATGTTAGCAGTTGAGGCCGAGCTGATGACACTGCAGAGAGAGCGACCGACGGCCTCAAGTCTGCAAGTGGCATGGCCACCACGCAAGTCGTTCGAGTCCTGACAGCTTTTTATCATTTTTCATCGCGTCGTGTCGACGGCGTCCTGTACTGCATGCGAGTGTTTCAATCTTCTCACTGTAGCTCTATTTGGATCGGTAGACGACACGCTGCGCCAGCCGCACCATGGCATCCCGCTCTGGTGAAGGAGCGAACTGCATGGCAACCTGGGCCGCCAGCTCTGCCTGGCCGATGGCCAGCGCCTTGGACCGCTCGATGCCTGTGCTCTTCTCCACGAGCTCGCTGGCCTGCAACGCGGGACAAAACCACCATTAGTACATCCCCGAATTGTCCACCACAGGACCGCATGGATGGGCACAACTACGAACCATCTCGATATCTCCCTCTTTGGAGAACTTCCGCTTGGCCAGCTCTCGCAGCACGGGGAACTCCTCCTGCGCGAGCAGCAGCGGAGCCGTCGACAGCCCGGACTTGAGGTCGGCCAGCAGCGGCTTGCCCGTGTTCACGCCCTCGTAGTCCAACACGTCGTCAATCAACTGCCGCGTTTCCAAGAAAGAACAACAAGGGCCGTTAGCTCATGCGACGACCATCGAAGCGGACAAGAGCGTTGTATTACCTGGAAGGCGAGGCCGATGTGGCGGCCGAATGCAAAGCCCAGGTCGCAGATGCGCTCGTCGTGCTTGCCCAGCACGAGCGCGGCCTTACAACTGTTGGACATGAGCGAGCCCGTCTTGTAGTAGTTCTTACGCAGGTAGTACTCGAACGGCGTGATGTCGTCGCGGGCGTCCGCGTTCTTCATCTGCATGACCTCGCCCTTCACCAGGTGCTCGATCGATGTGGACATGAGCTCGACGGCCTCCAGGTTGCGCAGTCGTGCCAGTGACACGGAAGAACGCGCAAGCAGAAAGTCGCCAGCCAGCACAGCCATCTTGCCGCCGAACACCTTGTTCACAGACGGCCGGCCACGGCGCGTGTCGGCCTCGTCAATGACGTCGTCGTGCATCAGACTGGCCGTGTGGATCATCTCACTGCAGCAACTCAGAGAGTCAGTACCAACATCTAATAGCGCAGTTTTAAGCGACAACGTACGTGATCTCGGCGAGACGCTGCTGTGCGGCGCGCGTGTACTCCTCCGACTGGGTCTCAGGCAGCGGGGCGCCAGTGGCGCGGCGGTGGGCCTCGGCAGTGCGCGCCACCAGCAGCACCATGGTGGGGCGCACCTTCTTGCCACCGTCGTGCTCGAAGAAGTAGCGGGCAACCGCCTCCAGCACCGGGTGGTCCGAGCCGAGGATGCGCTTGATGCTCTCCGTGACGCTCACCATGTCCTGCTCCACGAGCGTGAAGGGGTCGGCCAGCGTGCTCGGGTCCGTCGGCAGGTAGGCCAGGGGCACCTCCATCTCACTCACGGACCTGCAGTAGCAACGTCATCAATGGTTAGCTCTATGGTGTATCAATTGCAGTGGTAGCAGAGGCGTCTGACGCACTTGTCAAAGTCGAGGCTCAGGTCGCGATGCACCTCGGGGCTGCTGCCCGCAAGCGCGTAGCCCGGCGCCGGGTGCAGGATGGAGACCGTGGGCTCGTCCTACATACACATACAGCGCACGCAAAGCTGCAGTGGTTAGAGCATTGGCACGCAGGCAGCAGACTAAGACAGCCGATCAAAACGCACCACGGCGGAGGCGCTGAGCCACAGGTTCGGGTTGGACTCGAGGTCCGAGCGGATCTTGCCGGCCATGACGCGCACGGCCTGCTCGCGCAGACTGCTCATGTGGCGCGCCTGGGTCGCGAGGGCCGCGCCGCGACGGAGGAGGAGCTTCATCTCGGGGTACGGGGGCTAGCACGCTGCTGGACCGCAGACTTTGTGACGCACTACTGTATTGCTCGGCGGTTGTCAGCCGCCAGCTTGGTTCAAATACTACGGGTCGCGGCAAGGTTTGCCTTTACCCGTACCCTTATCGAGGCAACTACATACAAATCACCATACAAATGTGTAATCATTTTGCAACGTATTGACTGGAAGCGTAGGCAAAAAAACTGAAGTGAGTCCAACGTGAGGCGATGGCTACAGTCTCAGTTCGCGTCGTTTCGTGCGCACTCGCCGGCATGGCCGCCAGAAGGACCTTCGCGTCGCTGCTGGACGAGAATCGGAAGCTGCGCGCACAGCTGAAGAGCTTTGACGAGGCGCGAAGGCATGCTGAGCAACAGGTCGCAGAGTTCCGCGGCCGACTGCACCAGGCTGAAGCGGCGGCGACGCAGCAGCTGAGGCGGAAGGAGGCGGAGTGGATGGCCGAGTACGACCGCGGCGTGCAGGCGCTGCTGAAGATCGTCCAGCATCACGAGAGTGAAACAGCGCAGTTAAAGGCGGAAGTGGAGAAGCTGCGAACTGCGGCGGCGGTTGTTCCGCCCTCGATCACCAAGATGACAAGGGCCACTCAGACAGAGAGTGCTAGGCCGGTAAGAGCCACGCCAAGAAGGAACAGTGTACGCTTCGCACCAAATGAAGACTGTGCAGTAACAGATAAAGAGGAAGTCGATCCAAGAACGAAAATCAAGATCGCGCGCATGCAGGTGAATTCGGTATGACGGTGCTGTTCGATGTGGGTAATGGCTAACATTTTGGCGTGGGCGTATGCTCCATTGTGAAATTGTAGCATTTGTTTGAGCAGCTCCAACTATCACAGGAGTATCGCAACGACAAAACAGCACATGCAAGCGCAAAGTGCGTAGACGCTGGGCTAATACGAGATCGTGGCGAGCATGGCCCGCGTCATTGCGTGAAGGACGCGATCTTAAGGCGACTACGCGCGCATCAAATGAGCCCTCACGAAAACAACAGCAGCAATAGCAAAACTACTGAGACTCAGACAGAGGAAATACCCGTTTTGGCATCGTCTGCAAAGCTTCAACAGGACTTGGAAGACCGCAATCGACTACTTCACGAGCGACTGACATCGCAACAAAACATGCTGGACCAGTTGCTACACACAAAGCTGACACATGCAAACGCCAGCTCGGCGAAGCGTGAACGGGGTCCTGTACTAAACACACCAGCAGATATGTCCGTTGTTATACACGGCTGCGCAGACGAAGATCAATGTAAAACATCAGACAAGGCTGAACTTTCTGTTCCTATGGTGGATTTATCAGGATACCTCGCTCCAAGCATTGCCGTACATATCGAGCCTATCGTGACCGAGCGACGCCCTTTGTCTCCCCCAGCTGCGTAAATATCTAACGTATGATATATTGCATCGAATTACTTGTCTTTTAGTGAAGTATCGTCGTGCATCCACTCGTCGAGCTTCTTCACTTCCATCTCGAGATACAGCATCTCGTCGCCACTACGATTCTGCAGCGGGATGGCAAACGATTTTCGAGCCTGATCATTCCAGTCGGCAGGGCACTGGTTGTCGATCGCCGCCATGATATTCGCTCGTTCAGCAAACCAACGCTGCTCTGACTCCTCCAGCACCTCGCTGTACGTATTCCCCATCCTGTCCATCCGCAAAGAGCGATGTTAGTCATCTGAGGCGGATCAGCTCCGTTATACACACAATAGTAGTAGCTCGCGTACATGGCTATGAGTAGATTCACGAGGATGATCATCACCAGGATAACGTAGCACAGCACCAGCACTTGCGTGAACGCGTTCATTCTTCCACCTGATCCGTAGTTGTCGTCATAGTTCACCTCACCCGTGAAGCCCATGACTAGCAGCGTTCGCATCCGCACAAACAATGCGTGTGGACCAACTCGACCGTCGTGTACAACGTAGATCGCCTGGGAGAATCCGATCAAAACCGCGCTGTAAACTAGTAAAAAGCGTACGACGTCGTTGGCAATCATCCGTAGGATCATGATGACAAACGGTCCAGTCGTTCGGAATCCCAGCAGGAAGAAAAACAAGTAGAACCACGCAAATATGAGCGCGACAGCTCCGAGGGCGTCTCCCACTTCTTGCTGATGTGCAAGCCGCGCAGCGGTAGACGCGAAAAGCGATAAGCTTGTGACCATGGTGCAGACATTGTCGAGTCGACCAGCGCCTCCTTCGGTGATATATCCCTGGAAGTTAAGCACGATTTGGTTGCTTTCGTTTGAGAACTTCAGTGCCGCCAGCACAAGCGCCCCCACTTCAGCAAAGCCCAACCCCACCGCCTCACCACTCGAACCATCGGTGTATTTGCTGTACGGAGTGAGTGTTGTTGCATTGAGCAGGATTAGGAATATAGTGTAGATGGCCAGACGCCAAAGGAAGCGCTGCCTTCCGACGTATTTCCACTTCTTGTGCAGAAGCTGCTGAATCTCTAGCATTTTCAGCATTTCAAGGCGCCTCGACACGACTTCTTCCATGGCAACGTGGTGGTCTGGCAGTGTGCTCGAGATTTTCTCGGTAGAGCAGAGGCACTGGATGGCGGTGCGGTAGCCTTTTCGTCCCTTCGGTGCCAAAGGGTACGGTAGCGACGCTACCAAGTCGTGAACTCGTTGAATGCGTCCAAGATCAGGAGCTGGTCGCAATTCCGGCTGCTCCAGGTCGAACAAGGGCACGTGAAACGCAGTGATCGGACCGTAGCGCCACGCGACAGCTGAGGAGTGGTGAAATAGGTGCTGGAACATGCGCTGCTGGCCGATGGCCGCGGCGAGTGATAGCGGCGTCAGCTCGTCCGAGTTCCGCTGCATCAGGAAGTGGATCATTTGTGTGTATCCTTCGTCGCTTGCACTCTTGAGGAACGCGACGAGATTGATTTCGCCCTCCTGAAAGTTGTCAGACGGAGTAAAGGGTTCTTCTACAGGCGACGGCGAACGCGATGGTTTCTCCACGACAACCATATTCTCCACTTCTTGCACGTCGTCAATCGGCTTCTCCTCAGGAATCGTCGGGCCGACTTTGCTCGGACTGAACCGCTTTCCTGCGGTAGATAGCAACCTCATGACATACCGCAGCGCGAAGTCGTAGACGTCGGGCAGGTCTCGGATCACTGCGAGATGCAGCACATTGTTCCCGTGCCTGTCACACGTGAAGATGGACGCGAGCGCCTCTGTATCGTCCTCTTTAAGCGGCCCCTCTTGCAGTCGCTGGGCCGCGTCCAGGATGTGCAGCGCCATGTCGATCTGGTTGGAGGCGAGCGCGAAGAGCAGCGGCGTGCCCCCGAAGTAGCAGGCCTTGGTTGGCCCGAAGAACTTGCCCGTGGTCTCCGCACGCACCAGCTGCGGCGCTTGTTGCACGAGCCACAGCACGAGCTGCGTCTGGCGGTGGATAATGGCGATGTGCAGGATGTTCTCGCCCTCGTACGGCGACGGTTCGTGGTCGTTCCCCGATGTGTACGTGAGCGCGGCGAGCGACCGGCAGCGCAGCACGATGCGCTTGCCCAGCTCGTAGTGGCCGAAGAGGAACGCGATGTGGACTGGTGCGGCCCCCACCGAGTCGCGCAGCGTCAGGCACTGCTCGTCCGCGTCGATCAAGCGCAGCGCCGACTCCACGTCGTTGGCGCGCACGGCCCGGAAGATCCCGTCGTCGTGGTCCAGCACCTGCTGCGCTACGACGTCCACCTTGGCCTTGGCGGCGCTGCGCAGCCAGTAGAGGCGGCTGGACAGCCGGCGGCGCGGCTTGGCGCGCATAACGCGCCGCCCCGCCGTCATTGTGCAATGCAAGTGTGTGTGTAGCCATCTCATGGCGTCGCTTCAACTTGGCGGATTGTGTGCACCACACCAATGTGGTGGTGTAAGCTACGGTACGGGCGCACTTCGTGGACGGCAGGACTTCAAACACCGCGTCAAGCGCCATCGAGCAAGGTAAGGTGGACGGCGCTGCGGCCCTGCGTGGATCGCTGCGGTCTACTGGTACTCACGGTGATTGCTATTGTATGGTGTGGTTGTCTTCTGCGCAGAGCGACACAATGCAGGACCAGCAGCAGCAGCAGAAGCCTCCGTCGTTCCCGAACCTGCCCAAGAGCGCCTGTACGTCTGTCTCCAAGCTTTTCGACTGTGGCTGGCTGTGCATCGTGATATGCTAACAGTATACTTGTTGCTGTTGCTGTTGTTCCTGTTGCTGTTGCAGTGTTCTCGAAGCTCGAAGCGTTCCTGCCTGTGATGGCCGAAGAGAACAAGAAGCTGAGCGAGGCGGTGGCAGCGGGCGAGGGCGCCAAGCACAACATCGAAGTGGAGGAGGCCGAGGAGCAGAACAGCGAAGATGCAGACGACGCGATGACGGGCAGCGACGACAAGAAGCAGGAGGACGCCAAGGCGCCCGTGATCGAGATGGTGCGTGCGTAATTCCATTGCAGAGCATTGCGCTGTGGAGACTGACGGTTGCGTTGTGTCTGTTTGATAATGATGACAGAACTTTGCGCTGGGTACGATGGACGAGAACGACAGCGACGGTGAAGACGCCGATGCCGCCGACACAGAGGCACAGATCAAGGCCGCGACGACCGCAACAGTAATTGGCGCGAGCGCAGGGTCGAAGCAGCAGCAAGAGGAGGAGAACTCATCATTCCAGATGCGAATCGAAAAGCCGAGCAACAAGCCGCGCCCGGTGATCCAGGAGCTGAATTGACGCGGGATCAGGCGGAGGTAGAGGAAGGCACAGGCCATTTTGCTGGAGATATTTACTACACGAGAGGAGGCGGAGCGTCTCGCTGCGCTGCATAAAGTGAATGATACACGCTGAAGTGCATACTTACATACACACCAGTACTCGGCATCGTTGCGTTTGATACCCAGCCTGTTGAAGCAAAAGTGAAGCGCCCCGCAGCTCACCGAAAGGCTGTCAGAAGCGGGGCACCCGAGCATCCTGCCTTGTCAATAAATACGCGCCGAGCCTCTTCTTTTGTCGAAAACGCACCGCCGCAATGGCCAATAATCCCCTTCGATCTTCTGCGCGGCTCCGCATATGGAGATTTGTATGGCAGCCGCAGGTCTTTGCAACTTTGACCGTGGCCCCAGAAGCGAGGGGGGCCCTGGCCTGGTGGTTCATGCCGGCCGCAGTCTCCAAAAGCCACCGCTACCGCGAGTTCCTCAACGCCCCGCACCATGTTCTACCAGCTCTCGCAGAAGCTCTCCAAGGGCCCCATGATGGCCGTCGGCATCTCGTCCATCCTGGGCGTGGCCTACACCACCTTCGCCTTCTTCCGCTACACTGGTGCGACCTCCAGCACGCAAATGTGTCAATGGCCCACACCTTCAGGTTGACTGACGATCCTCTGCCGCTTATTGCCAATGTATTGCAGGCCCGGACCTTGGCGGCGACGTGCCCGGCTCGCCCAAGACCACCTCGGCCGAGTGGCAGGCGGCCTCCGTGGAGTACGGCAAGGCGCAGAAGGCCAACCCCATCCGCCACTTCAAGGACTAAGTACAGAAAGCAGCAGTCGAGCCGTGCGTGTGCGTGTCTGCCGAGGCCTGCGTCGGCCCTCCTCCTCCTGTAATTATTGGCCGCGAGGCGGGCGTGCGGCTGACGGGGGATGGAGCTAGCAAGCCGCTTGGACGTCGGACGGACCATAGCGACTGGCCGTGGCCAAGTGACTTGGCGACTCGCGCTCCCCGCAGCGGGTCAATACGCAAGAATAAAGAAAAAATGCAGAAAAAAAATCAACGAACTTCCCCGCGGACGATTCGCCCTCAAATAGTATCGGTTGAGAACCGTTCTGGCAGGACTTTTCAGGTCGTGGTGGCGCGTGTCAACCACACCAACAGGCGGAACCACCAGCACCGATTGCAATGATACGACATACTGTAATCCCAACGCCGACTAGCGAATCCATCAAGGCTGAAAACTGTTTCGTTATGCTGGAGCCTATGGACGTCTTCAATGTGTGGGCACGCCCTGCACAGGTGATACATGCACACGTTATCGTTAGCAAGTTCCAGTGGTGCGTGCCGCCTCGACAAATGATCCGCTAGTGGTTCGTACCAACTCTGCAACTTGAGCTTTGCGCTTGGCCTCCGCGGCGTCCCAGCCGTCCATGGCGCGCTGTCTTAATCTCTCCTCCGCCTCCTGCTCGTCCTTCAGCTGCTGTTCATCCTCGTCATCGCGGTAGCCGTAGTAGTCCGGCTCAATGTGCTTGTACATGTCTTGCCGAGTGCGCTTGCGTGGCTCGGGCTCCTCCTTCTCGAACAGCTCGCGCACTCCTGGGAGATTCATGGCGGCGCCGAAGTACTTGTAGCCGCCGACCCCGCTCACCGCCGACCCGTCCGCGTCATATGCCTGCGGCTGCGTGCGCGCGTAGTCCGGGCCGCCCAACTGCACGATCCGCCGCTCCCAGTGCCGCTTCTCGCGAATGCGCTTGTTGATCTCGTCGTTCAGATCGCGAATCACGTGCTCGCTCGAGCCAGCTGCAGCAATCGCACAAGTCGACACCAATACAAGGGAGGTTTGTCTTTTAGCCAGAGTTCCTCCGTCTCACGGAGCAATGTAGTGCAATGCAACTCAAGCAAGCAAGCAGCGCACCATTCTGGATGTCCGCCACCTTCTTGGAGATCTCGCGGATGATCTGGCGCCGCCAACGCTCAGCGTCCTTGAGGTTGTCGCACTGCGAGGCCAGGTACGGGCGTCGGCTGCAGCGGCAACAACAACCTAAGCGTTAGCAGGTCTGCAGGCGACAAGGATATGCACAACCGACAGACTCCGCGCCAGCCATCGGGGGGGGGGGGGGGCGGGGCCGTCGTCACTCACTTCTTGAAGGTGTCCGCGAAGTCCTGCTTCATGGACGTCCATCGGTTCAGCAGCGACTGCGCCTTCTCCTCATTGCGCGCCATCCTGCTCCTCTTGCCTGGTGCTGGGTCTTATTACTGCTGCGTGGTGTAGCGCACACAGTTCCAATTTAACAGCGACTTTCAGCCAATCACGCAGGTTCAACCAACATGGGGCGCGGAAGGACGCCACTTCACCTTCACTCTCGACCCCGTAACGCGAGACCGACCATGATGGGGCTCTGGACGACGGCGACCCGCACGCGCGCCGCCGCCGCATCTGCCGGCTGGGCCGGGCGCCGCCTGTCGACGCAGGCGATCAAGCCGCAGGTGGCCGCGTACGATCTGGTGGTGATCGGCAGCGGCCCGTCCGCCACGCAGTGCGCGCTCGAGTCGGCCAAGCGCGGCAAGAAGGTGGCCATCGTGGACAAGAAGACGTCACTGGGCGGCGTGTGCGTGCACACGGGCACCATCCCGTCCAAGACGTTCCGCGAGGCCGTGCTGCACCTGTCGGGCTACCGGCACCACGGCTTCTACGGCAAGTCGTACAGCATGAAGACGGTCACGATCGAGGACATTCTGTACCGCGTGCAGCGCGTCGTGCGCTCCGAGGAGGACGTGGTGCGCGCGCAGCTCAAGGCCGCGCGCGTGGACGTCATCCCGGGCTTCGCGCGCTTCGAGAGCGAGCACGAGATCTCGGTCGTGCGCGACGAGGCCGACGCCAAGCGCAGCAGCAGCAACAGCAGCAGCAACCTGGACTCGCTCTCGCGCGTCATGGCCGACAAGTTCCTCATCGCGTGCGGCACCAGGCCCGCGCACAACCCGCTCGTGCCCATCGACGGAAAGGTCATCATCGACAGCGACCAGATCCTCAGCCGCGACATGCACCAGCTGCCGCGCTCGCTCATCGTCATGGGAGCGGGCGTCATCGGCATGGAGTACGCCTCCATGGTCAACGTCGTGCCCGGCCACTCGGTCACGGTGGTGGACGGCCGGCCCGACGTGAGTGGATCAATACTTCCTGTAGTTGCGATGAAGGTTTTGGTGGCTGACTGAAGAATGGATATTGTCTGCAGATCCTGTCCTTCTGCGACCGCGAGATCATCAGCAATCTCACGTACGAGATGCAGAGCAACGGAGCGCGCTTCCTGCTGGGCGAGACCGTCAAGAAAGTTGAGGTATGGAGTGCAATGACTGGAGGAAGTGAGGGAGGAGCTTGGGTTCTAACGTGTCCCTGTTGGTAAATGATTGCAGACGACGGAGAACCGCGTGAAGGTCTTCTTCGATAGTGGCAAGGTTCTTAGCGCCGACGCTCTGCTGTACACCGTTGGCCGTCAGGCGAGCACGGACGGACTGAACCTCGAGGCGGTGGGGCTTTCGCGCAACCACCGCGGCCTTATCAACGTGAACCAGAACTATCAGACCGACCAGCCCCACATGTAAGCTCGGATGGCGCTTTCTGCACCTTGTCCTTGTAGTGAGTCTAACTGCTGCATTGTTTCTCTTCCACTAGTTACGCTGCGGGTGACTGCATCGGTGCCCCGGCCCTGGCGTCGACGAGTATGGAGCAAGGTCGCTTGGCGTCCTGCCACATGTGGAACCCTGACGAAGAGCTCAAAGTGACGAGCCAGTTGGACAATGGCAACTATCCGTACGGCATCTACACGATCCCCGAGATCTCGATGGTCGGCCAAACGGAGCAACAGCTTACGAAGGATTGCGTGAACTACGAAGTTGGTATCGCCAAGTACTCAGAATTGGCTAAGGGCCAGATGATGGGTGCGATGGCTGGCGGCACGCTCAAGATCCTGTTCGACCCGGACACACTGAAGCTGTTTGGAGTGCATGCCATTGGAGAGGGCGCGACGGAGATTATCCACATTGGCCAGGTTGCGATGGCGATGGGATGCTCCCTAACGTACTTCCGCGATGCGGTGTTCAACTACCCGACACTTGCTGAAGCCTACCGTGTTGCCGCCTTGAACGGACTGGGACGTCTGAGTCGCAACGCTGGTGAGCACTAGTTGCAAATGCAAAATACCTTGTTGGGGTGGCGATGGCATGCGGAAATACTCCTTATCGAAAAGCTGCATTGACTCGCCCTCACGCTGAAGCCTATCGCGTCGATCCAGATAGAATGTGCAAACAAAATAAATCGGGTGTATTGCCTGTAGCAAAAGAGGTTGCGAGGCGTGACAAGATGACACTATACTCATTCGTCACTGTCACTGTAAGTGCATTAGAACAGATTGGGACCCGATATTCTTCATCTATCTAACGAGGGGGGGGGGGGGGGGCAATATCTAACCGCACTGCAGCAACACCGACAGCGGAACATGTTTGGAATTTGCCGAGTCAAGAAGCTGGAATTCGTCTGAGCTGAGACCCGTGCGAACCTCCATTTCGTCCTCTGCGTAGGGCAAAATGACCGCGTATGGTGGAGTTAGATCATTTGCTGCTGTCGAAACACGCTCAATTCGGTACAGATACAACTGGATGCCGACGAAACGGAGGCTACAGAAGTTCCACGGATCCGTCATCATTGCGATGTTCATGAGGTGAAGAATCGAGTGCGACTCCGTTGTGCGCGAGCACAGATCCCCTTTAGGCGATTTCGCCTTCGGTACACTCGATGCGGTTAGCTTACCCCTCCACACGTTCCACGGATAAATACTTGATCGACGCGGTGAAACATCCACTTCATTCGTGATGGTCTGGAACGGTTCTGCTACGTTGCGGGATGCTGGTGATGGAGCAACTCTTACCAGTTTGCTCATCGTTGAATGCCTCGACCAGGAGTTGGGTTGTGAGCGAATTGGTACGCTGAAGTGGATGATTGGAGACGTGTTCACCCAAAGACTCTCGATTCCGCACGGAGCAACTCGTGACAGTTTTAAGATCACTCCGCGTGTTGTGCGGTATGGCAAACTGGTTCGAGGTGTGAAGTATCCCAATAACTTGATAATGAGAGCAAGGACAGCGACCGCGGCGACACACAAGCGAACCGTCCTCGAGCTGCCACCGTAAAAGTACGAGGATGAATTAAAGCAGCCGTCGGGGTTGGACGACCGCACGAAGTCCATTATTTGCCCTTCGTTGGGGATTTCGATGACACTCGTGATATTCATATCGCGATAGCGAACGTTTTTGTATGGACCAAAGACTGTCAAGGAAGACGTGAAGCTGATGAGCAGTCCTCGAACCCCCGGGATTCCGTCGGCGTGACTCCTTGCCCTCCTCATGGCAAACAACACCACACTGGCGAGCAACGCCACCAACCAGACTGCGCGCATTTGGACGGCAGTAGTTTGTAGAAATGGCACGAGTTTGAAGTTGACTGCGCCCCCCACAGACGCCCAATACGAGTCGAGGAAGATGTCCATGAAGCTGCTGTCGAGGACCAGAGCTAAGACGTACCCAGCCACAGGCAGCAAACTCGAGTACACGATGACCTGGAACGGGATCTTGAACACGATCAACGCGGTGGACACCAAACGATGCGCAGTAGTGCCAGCTCCTGACCCCTCCGCCGCGACGTAGGCACCGTAGACCAGCAAGATCAATCGGACCCAGACATAAGCCTGCGCACTGCCTCGCAGCATCGAGATGATACTGTACCAGTCCAGGAGATTGGTCTGGACGATGTCGCGCTCGTATCGGTAGTCGTCCACGAAGACGGTCGTGCATGCAGCGGCAATTGATGAAGAATTGGTGGTGTTGGAGCAGCGTATTCCTCGGGTGAGGATGACGATCTCTAGTGCCTCGTAGTTGTAGAAGGTGGAGCGCATGGCACCCGAGGTGGATGAAAGTCTCTGCGAGGACACCAAAGCCACTTCCATCTCCAGGTCTGGGTAGCGCTGCTGAAGTGACTGCAGTCGCAGATCCATGTGACCCCAGAGCCGAACGGGGGGCGACGACGTGTTCAACGGGTCAGAGCACTTCCAAATGCCTGGGTGGTTGCAGAACCGTGGCCTCGGCGGTGCACGGTGGCCGATGGCAGCATTGGCGCATACGCGGAGAGACTTGGTGTCTCGCGTCACGGTCGGGACGTGCAGTGAGTGTAATCTCCAGGCGGCGTTCTTGGAAGCTCCGCGCACGACGTAGTGGTGCAAGCGATCGACCCAATTGTGCTTGGTGGCGTAGCGCAGCGCTCTGGCTGTTGGTCGCAGCTCCTTATTCGCTGCTCCGATGAACGCGTCGAGCATTGTGAAGGCGGTGGCCAAATCGAGCATGCTGGATGCATTGGTCTCGGGTTGATCTGGTTGAGGCTTGTATAGTAAGAAGGGTGGGAACTCAGTCACGTTCAGCAGCTCGACGGCACCGCGAAGCCCGACGGAGGTGGTGTCGTACTGGTACGACCAGACTCGAGCTGCCGGAATGGGCTGCGTGCCCTTGAGTCCAAAGAAGGATGCAGGTTGGGAGCTGTCGTTGTCGAGGCGGTGGATGTGCACGACCGGGTAGTTGAAGGGTCCGAAGCGGACGGCGGTGCCGGGCATGAGCGGCACCGGGTAATAGTCCTGCAAGTTGTGTACGCCGAGGCCAGTGCGAGGGATGTCGGTCATGAGCAAAACGAGTGACACGAGGGTGATGACGCATCGGAGTTTGCACAAAGCGATGCAGTTGCTGATATCCGAGGGGGGCAGGAGGTGCTGCCATTCATTTGTTCTCGTTCGGGCAAGTGTGGAAGCGCTTCGGTTTGTGTCGAAATCGTTGTCCTCATTCTCTGGAGCGCAAGTGTGTGGGTCTGCACACATTGCTCTCTACACGCACACGTAGGTGCTTCATCAGCATTCGAGGGGCATGGGGGGGGGGGGGGGCTAAAAGTGTTTGGGGCTGGAATAGTGTGGTAACGGACGATGCTGGTCATTCATTTCCGCTGTGACAAAGCTGCGTGATACCCTTTCACGAAAAGGGTCATTCACCAATGAATGCCCCCAAATCAATGTCGAAATGGGGCCGTCTTGAGAGTTGGCGGGAGGGATCCAGGAACTCAAACTCGCCAGCATCCAACTCTTCTGTTTCGTCTTCGGATATGGTAAAGTACGCGCGAGTTCCTACTAGTAGCATTGGTATCGGGCGGCGAGGTACAATTGGAGGCCGAAATTTGATTTCACGCAGCGCACTTCATGAGTTTGCGAAGCAGAGCAAAACCTCGCTGTATTCTATGCGTTGCAATGGGTGTCTACATTTTCTAGCTGACGACGGCAGCCCGATAAATAATGAATGTACATACCAGTCTACGGCTGCCGTCAGCCGCTTTGCAGCAAGACTGCCATTGGGATATCCCTGGAGCTCGCGGAGTCGAGAAGTTGAAAGTCTTCAGCCCCAAGGCCCGCGTACTCTTCCATCTCGTCAGCATCGTAGGGCAAAATGACGGTGTAGAATTGAGGTCTTCTACTCGTCGCGTGGATGTCTAAAGAGATGGCTCGGGTCCGATACAAGTACAAGGGGACGCCCAACACCCGCAGCCAGAAGAAATTCCACGGGTCCGTGAACATGGCGACGTTCATGAGCTGCAGGACGGAGCGGAACTCGGTGGAGCTGTAGTCCTCTTCAGCAAGCAGGTGTCTTCTAGAGGTGGTCCTCCACGAAGCAACTCTCGGTAATATCTGCGCGGTATTGAATGGCCTCACCTTGGTCTGCACGCCCGAGCTCTCCCTTTCCAAGGGCAAGTTGGCGCTTGATGGTGACGCTGTTCGCGGCGAGCCTTGCGCCTTCGATCTGACCGGCACGCGAGAGGTTGGGACGAAAAATTGAATGCTCAGCACCGAAGTTACCCAAAGTCGGTGGGCCCCGCACGGCATCATGGGTGTGGTGCTCAAAATGAGCCCCTTGCTTTGACTTTGTCGGGAGGCCAAATAGCATGCAGCCTTGATGGCCACCGCTAGCCACACGACAGCGTTGATGCAGAACATCAACATGACAGCGCTGTCGTCGAAGAAATAGTTCGAGATGTTGTAGTGACCCACAGGATTGCTGCGGACGATGTCCATTACCTTTCCTTCGTCCGCGATCTCGAACAAGTTAGTGATGTTGGTGTCTCTCCACGTGGTTTTCTTGTACGGACCGAAGACCGTCAGAGTTGACGTGAAGCAAATGACGAGACCCCGCACGGCAGGAATGCCGTCTCCCCAGTAATCTCGACTCCTCCTCACTCCGAACACGGCCAGACTCACGAGCACCGACAAGAGCCAAACGTTCCGCATCTGGACGGCTGTAGATTTCAAGAACGAGAACAGTCCGATGTTGATTGAACCCCCCACTGCCGCCCAGAACGAGTCGAGGAAGAGGTCCATGAAGCTGCTGTCCAGCAGAAGCGCGATCACATAGCCGCTCACCGGCAGCAAGCTGGAATACACGACCACCTCGAACGGGATCTTGAACAGGATGAGGATGGCTGCTACTGGCACCGAATCGGACGTTTTCTTAGCAGCAACAAGCTGCCCAGCGACGGCGTAGGCGCCATACACTAGCAAGATCAAGCGAAGCCACACATAGGCTTGCGCTCCACCTCGGAGGAAGGCAATGACACTATACCAGTCGACGAGATTGGTCTGGACGCGGTCGCTCTCATAGCGGTAGTCGTCTACGAAGAGAGTTGTGCAAGTGGACGGGTTGGTGCCGACGCAGCGTCTGCCTCTCGTGAGAACAACGACTTCCAGCGCTTCGTAGCTGTAGTACGTGGACTGCAGCACTCCCGTTGTGGCGGATAGTCTTTGAGACGATAGCAACACCACATCCAGCGCCAGGTCCGGGTATTGCTGTTTGAGCGCTTGGAATCGCAGATCCATGTGCTCCCATAGACGAACTGCAGGCAGCGACGCGTTCAGCGGATGGCTGACTCTCCAAATACCTGGGTGGTTGCAGAAGCGAGGGCGAAGCGGATGGCGCTGCTTTGCTCTGTTCGCGACTGTATTGGAGCATATTGAGAGAGACTGCGTCGCGCTGGTGATGCGAGGGATGTGGAGCGAGTGCAGTCTCCAGGCGGCGTTCTTGGAAGCTCCGCGCACGACGTAGTGGTGGATGCGATCGACCCAGTTGTGCTTGGTGGCGAATCGAAGTATAGCAGATTCATTGCCTACTGGGAGCAGTTTACTACGTGCAGCCGTCATGAAGGCGTCCAGCATGGTGAATGTGGTAGCCAAGTCGATGAGACTCTCGGCGTCTTTCTCCGGTTCGCCCTCTCTCGGCTGGTAGAGCAAGTAACCTGGATACTCCGTCACGTTCAGCAGATCTACCGCTCCACGGAACCCGACAGAGAGCGTGTCGTACTGGTACGGCCAGACCCGAGCCCCCGAAACGGGTTGAGTGCCCTTGAGTCCTACGAATTCCGTTCCGGACCGCCAGGCGTGTATAATGGGGTAGTCGTAAGGTCCGAAGCGAACGGCAGTGCCAGGCATGAGCTGGAGCGGGTAGAATTCCTGCAGACTTTGAACTCCGAGCCCCGTTCGTGGGATGTCGGTCAGCAGTAGAACGAGCGACACGAGCGAGAAGACGCATCGGAATTTGGACAGCGCGACGTACTTGCTGATGTCTGGTTGGGTGAGGAGTTCCTGCCACCCGCTCGTCCTGGCCCATGTTTGGGTTCTAGCGCTGTCGTTCCGATCGTCTCGGCCTTGGTCTTCGGTGGTGGGAGTGCGCGGGTTCCCGCACGGTGCTGGGTGAATGATGGCCATGCTAGACGAATACCTGGCTGTGAAGTGAGCGATTCATGCCGAGCGTAGGGTAGAGTAGAGCTGAGCTATATCAACTTCATAGCTGGAAAACTGAAATACGCCTCCACGTTTAGCTTTGCCGTTCTGGAACTGTGACGTACTTGCGAGTCCTGGATGAGTCAAGGTGTATTTTGGAGTTAATCGCCTTGATTCAGCCGCTTTGAAGCAGTGTGGACATTGGGAGGTCCTTTGAGCTCAGAGAATCCACGAGTCGGAAGTCGCTAGAACTGAGTCCCGTGCGCTCCTCCATTTCGTCTTCAGAGTACGGTAAAATCATAGCGTACGGCAAGAGGACAGAGCTGCTATCAAGAGAGGAACACGACAAGAGAGCAGGTCGAATCCGGTACAAGTGCAAGTTGATTCCCAGCACTCGAAGCCAGAACAAATTCAACGGGTCCGTCATCATGGCGATGTTCATGAGCTGCAGAATCGAGTGCGAGTGCGCCGTACGTGAAGCCAAGCCGCCGGTTGGAAGTAGCAGCAAGCTCCGAGCATTTGGTGAAATTCGCTTCCTACGGTAGGGACACCACGGACGCCATTCCGACGAGCGCATAGTAGTCGGGTGTACCATGTTCACTGGAGGCGGTGGATGCAGCGCTGAGGCTGGAGCGGGCTTAGGATCTGGAGAAATTTTGGCCAAGCTCGGTCGACTCTGAAGGTCTGTGTGTAGCTGGTAAGGTGTGGAGCTGGTCAACGCGTTGAACCGAACGCTCAACGACGAGGTTGGCCAGAGGAGCTCCGACCCAATGGGGACGCCCAGGGTCGAGATCAAAACCACCTCTTGATCTTCTCGCATAATGAAGCCGACCAGTCGAGCAGCACTCGCTAGCACTGCTACAGCACCAACACAAACCATGAGCATGGTGGAGCTATCGTCACACAAATACGTGGACTCGTTAAAGTATCGCTGAGGGCCGGTCAGCACTGAATCCATGCGTTGGCCGACAACGGGAAGTCGAATCGCAGTTAAGATCTCGGTGCTCCGGAACGCGGGGTGTCTGTATGGCCCGATGATCGCCAGTGCCGAAGTGAAGCTGATCGCTAGGCCGCGAATACCAGGAAGTTTTTCCTCGGACCCACTAATCGGTTTTCTCGCCACAAGAACCATCACGTCCACAAGTAAAGCCATCAACCACACGGACCTCATCTGAGTCACTGCCAAGTTTAAGAACGGCAGGAGTTTGATGCTCATCACGCCTTCCAGCGTCGACCAGTACGAGTCGAGATAAATGTCCATTAAGTTGCCATCCAGCAAGAGCGCCAATACATAGCCAACTACAGGCAACAGACTGCTGTAAACGACAACCTGGAAGGGGATTTTAAACACGCTCAGAGCAGCAGATACACCACGAGAATACCAGGGCGATTCCTCCAGTTTTTCGACCTTCTCAGCAGCTATGTAGGCACCACGATAGAGGAGACCCAACCTTACCCAGAAGTATCCCTGAGCCCCTGCCCGCATCATCGCAATGAAGAAATACCAGTCCACAACGTTCGTCTCGAGCATCTCGCGCTCGTATCGGTAGTCGTCGACAAATACCGTCGTACATTCACTGTCCACAATGGTATCGTTACCTGTGCAGCGTCGACCTCGAGTTAGCATGACAATCTCCTGGTCCTCGCAGTTGAAGAACGTGTAGCTCAGCGTTCCTGAAGTCATGGACGGCCTGTGGGTGGAGATCAGCGCGGCATCAAGGACCAGATCTGGATACCGTCGCTGGAGCTCCTGGAAGCGAATGTCCATTTGATCAGCGAGACAAACCGCAGGGAGCGACGCGTTCACAGGGTGAGCGCACTTCCAGATACCTGGATACGAGCAGAATCGAGGGTGAAGTGGCTCCCTCTTGTCGGTGGTGGCTGTACACGGTCGAAAGAAGTTAACGTGACGAGATATTAGCGGGACGTGCAGCGTGTGGAGGCTCCACACTCCGTGGGGCTTGACAAACCGAGTCAAGTACTGGTAAACTCGATCGATCCACTTGTGCTTCGTCGCGAAGCGCAGTACAGTTGACGACTTTTCTCGCAGTAAATCCGCTCGAGCTGTCGAGATGAGGGTGTCTAGCATGAAGAATGTGGTGTTGAGGGCTAAGATGCCGCTCTGGTTGCTCTTCTTTCCCCACTCCCCTTTGTACAGCAGTGACTCTGGGAAAGCCGTGACATTTAGCAGCTCGATAGCACCCCGCAGACCTACAGAGGTAGTATCGTACTTGTAGGACCACACGTTTGCTGAGTCGACAGGGTCTTCTCCCTCAAGTCCGTAGAATTCGTCGATCCCGCTGATCTCATCGCTCTTTCGCCAAATGTGTCGAACAGGATAGTCGTAGGGCCCAAAGCGAGCGACAGTATCTGGCATGATAGTTGTCTGGTAGTAGTCCCCTAGACGACGCACTCCGAGGCCGGAGCGAGGGATGTCCGTGGCAAGCAGAGCGATGGAAATGATAGAGATCACGCAACGCAGCTTGGAGAACGCGAGGCAGCCGTCGATGTCGGGACGAAGCAGAAGTTTGTGCCAGTCTTCCGCCCTTGTGCGCGTAGAGCTCCTACTCCCGCGGACCATTGGGCTCTTCTTCTTGTCCTTCTTCTTCTTGACCTCCCAGTCTAGTGCCTTGATCCTGACCCTGTTCATGCTCCTCAGAGGGTTTTGGTGGAGTGTTCAGTGTAGTTTCTTTTAGACCGAGGGTCCTCGATGTGCTGCTATAAGTGACCACGTCAGCAAAACAGAACACAAGTGCGATTGAGAGACACTTGCTTGTGCATAATAAACATATCCTTCCAACACTCTGTGCCAATACTGCGGCCTCAGAGCTCAATGTGCTGCGTTCTCTCCCCAGTGCGGTGTACCAGCGTCATACTTTCCACGCGGAACGCGTCCATGGTTGGCGGATCGGCGCCCGTGGTCTTCGCAGGCACCAGCATCTTCTTGTACACGAGGTCCGGGTAGTCCGCGCTGGTTTTCAGCGCCACGTACCTCTCCGCGGTCGTGGTCCCAGGCTCAAAGTATTCCGCGCGCTGCGTGGGGAAGATGAGGATGACGAATGTGACGGCGACGAGCGCCATGCAGCCCACGAACGAGATCCAGAACGAGTTGGCTGGGATGGACATGGCGATGCGGCGGAGCTGGCGATCGCCTTTGAGCTGCACGTTCGCCAAAAGATCCGACGATGTGGACGATTTCGTAGTGGACGACGAGGATGAGGAAGAGCTGAGGTCCGTCACTGCTGCGTTCTGCATGAAGAAGAAGAAGACGGACGAGTACATGACCTCCAGCGGCCGCTCCAGGGAGTACTTGTTGTCCTCCAGCTGGGCCAGATACGACTCCATCAGGGACGAGCATGCATCCCTCGTGAGCATCTCGTTCAAGCTCGCGTTCCACTGCGTACTCGCGAAGTTGTCGAGGTTCAAGTACTCCAGCTCCGTCGGCGTGCCTTGAATGAGGACGGACGGCGCGTTCAGCTGCACCAGCGGCGTGGGGGAGTGGAAGTCCCCGGCCATGATGTCGTCCACAGGGAGGACGTCGGTTCCAGCGAACAGGTAGCGCTTGGTTTGGGGCAGCTGGTACCACATGCCGTTGCAGTCGCCTCCGTCCTCGCCGCTCACGTCACACTGCGCGTCAAAGTCCTGATGCACGGGGTCCGTCTTCCAACTAAGCAGCGCAAAGCTGAACTGGATGTGACGTCGAGGGTTGACGACGTACGGCCCCACGTACATGTCCACGCTCTCTCCAAAGACCTCGTACTCCCCGTCAATCCCGCCGTACGCGAACGTGTCCCCCGCAATGTACGAGCCGATGCCGTAGACCACGGCCTGGTTCGGGAGCTTCTCGCACTCGACGGGGTACCAACCACCGTAGTTGGCGTCGTAGTTGATCCCAGTGCAGTTGTCCACAACCGGGATGACCCCCACCTCCTTCTGCAGGTTGAACGTGTTGCTCGTGTCGAAGAAGAGGCACGACGTGTTGCCGCAGAAGCTCGTGCTGTAGTAGCTCCACACGTAGTCGGGGACGAAGCTCGCGTTCGTTGTTGCGCTGCCGTTCGACGAGGAGCCGCAGGCCTCGTAGAAGTAGCACGCGGCGTCCTCGAACGTCTGGCCGTAGACGACGGAGGCGTTGAGCACGACGTCGATCGTCAGCGCCTGGATGCTCATTTGATCCGTGAGGCTCAGCTTCTCCATCGACAGAGTCGTCTCGTCCAGCGCGAAGGTGCTGGGGAACGACTTGTTGAGACCCTCAGTGACGAGATTCATGACCGAGTCGATGGAGACCTGTCCACGGCCTCCATGAGCTTGAACAGCGACGTCGCGGGGCCCTGGCAGATCCTCGTCCCGTCCTCAGCGTACGTCCACGCGCCCGTGCTGGTGCTGGAGTCGTTGGGGAACGTGTCGAGGTCCGTCCGACCGTCCGACTCGGAACAGTTGTGCTGGCGCCGCTCGGAGTTGGCGATGGCGCGCTCCATCATGACGGTCCCGTGCAGGAAGAGGTTGACGACGTCGACGATGTCGAAGGCCTCGGGCCAGTCCGCGCTGCCCTGCGCCTCCGCGTACGTGACGGAGTAGTCGGCGTCGGGCGTCTTGTTCATGAAGTTGACCTCCGTGTTCCACTCGTTCGAGTAGAAGCCGTAGACGACGGCGATGGATGCGAGGTCGTCCACGTTGATCGGCGCCAGGCTCTCGCCCGCGTACGTGACGCTCGAGTTCTGCTGGGTGCACGTCGGGCTCGAGATGAAGCTGAAGGGGGTCGTCTCCTGCCGCACCGCGTTCTTGAGGATGGTGTCGCTGGGGCGGCGGATATCGAGCTTGGACTCGTTCTTGAGCGCCGCGGCCTGCAGCTTCTCGATGGTCGACTGGGACTTCTGGAAGTCGTCGAGGATCATGGTCGAGTTGTAGCCCACCGTGCTGTTGGAGGCCTGGAAGCCGCGGATGCTGTTGCCCAGCGTTAGCACGACCACGATCGGGACGACGAACAGGACGACGGATCGGACCCGACCGACCACTTTGCTGGGCGCCGAGACCTCCTTGGACGACCAGAGCAGGTTGTGCAGGAACACGATGTAGGCCGGCTGGATCTTGTCGAGCCACCAGCCCATGACGACCTCCACGAAGGCCATGACGAGCCCCGAGCGGAAGTTGTACGTGTCCGTCTTCTTGTCGGCGTTGGTGGACGACCCCACCTTGTCGTACACGGTCTCCGGTAGAGTGATGCCCCAGAGCGCGACCCCCGTGAAGGCCCCGACGAACAGGCAGAGCACGGCGACGTGGAAGGCCAAACGTGCCGGGGACAGCGTGATCTCGAGCGCTGGAGAGCTCCTCTCCAGCTTGTCCTCGAGCAGCGCGATGTCCACGGGCTTTTCGACGTCGATGATGTCCTCCTTCTTCGACATGGGTGCGAGTAGTGAGGTGGCAAAGGTGAAGGTGCTGCGTTCGACGCCTTTCGCGTTGTGAGCGATCGAGCGGCTGGCGCGTGTTGCGTTGCGTCCGGCTGGCGAAGCGAGCGGCTTTGTGGGTACAGACTGCAAGAGTTCAATGCAGCCATTGTCACGCTTGTAACATTGCGTCGGCTTCAATGCCAAACGGTAGAAAACCAGCAGAAAAACTACTGTACACAACAGGTTGTAGCCTTTGGCGTCCGCTGCAGACACTTGATGGTTTCCTGCGTGGTTTCGGATGAAACTTGCAACGCACAACTCCATCAACTACGACGCGATCTCGGATTGAAGAGCGCCCAACTCACGCGTGCAATTTTGAAGAACCCCCTTGTGCTGTTTCATGACAACCCAACGTTGTAGAACCAACTTCGGACGTCCTCCCACATCGGTGAGGCTCCGAAGGCAATGGAGCGATAACCTTGGTTTATTTTAAAAACTGCATGCGCCGCACCGTCCGCAATGAACAGTACATGAGCGTCCCAGAACTCCACGCCCCCCTGCAATGTTTTGTACCCTTACACCTTACTGCTGTTAGAGTGCAAGTTTTTGCTTTTCGAGTTCAGCGCTGCATCCGTTTCGCCATCTGATTGACTTGGTGATATATCACCCCGAAGTCAAAGTCGCTTGACAATGGCTACATGCGCTGCTCATTGTGTACCTGCCAGCCGACGGCCATTGGCAATTCAGAGGCGTGGGGCACACAACACTCAAACAAACGCGCTGGTTGAGACTGAGACGGCTCCCAAAGACACAAAAGCATGGACGTGCAGTCACCGTCCGAAGCGTACGCGTCCGTGAACACCCCAACGAAGAACCTCCCGGGGGACCACGACTATGAGAATGACAAGGACAATCTCAACAGCTTGGCGCTCCTCCGCAGCGACACGCTGCTCAATGGAGAGCACGTGGAGCCGGACGTGAAGCTGCGAGCCCTGCCCTTCCTGGCCATCGTGCTGCTCAGCAACGGGGCGCTCATCGGCTTCATGGCCATCTTCCTGTCCGAGGTGACCATGGGCTCCAAGATCAGCGACACGGTCGGGTCCTCCAAGAACGCGGACAAGAAGGTCGAGACGTACCAGTTGCTCAATGGCTACATATCCGCTGCTGCCGGGGAGCTGCTCAACTTCGCCTTCTTCGTCTTCCTGGCCGTCATGGTCACGTACTTGGGCAACCTGCCGTGGCACCCGGGCCAGAACGTCGTGGACGGCCGGGGCAACGTCAAGAAGGCCGTGCTCTGGTGGTTCACCCCCTTCGTCATGTACGTCGTCAACGTGGGGATCACGTCCATGAACATCAAGCACACGATCGTCGGCGTCGAGCACATTTTCGTGCAGAGCGACCTCATCACGTCGGTGCTCGGACTCACGGACGCCGCGGACGCCACTGACGTGCAGAACACCATCTTGAGGACTGCGGTGCGCCAGGAGGTCGTGCCCTTCTTCATCCAGTCCAGTTCCTTGTGCCTGCTCTCCAACGCGTCGGCGGTGGACGCGGCCAGTCTGCAGACCAGCATCAACGACACGAGCAAGATGCCGACCGTCACGAGCATTGACTCGACGTCCGTGGGCTACGGGTTCACGCTCAACTCGTGGAACTACGACGCGCTGCCGCTCGGCGCAGAGCTCACGAACGCCGTCAATTTCACGGCCAGCGACGTCGACCTCAACCTCGCTACGGACGCCTTCGCTGCCTTCCAGGAAGCGACGGGCTTCGACTTCGTGACGGGGTACGAGATGTTCCTGCAGGGCAAGGCGCTCTTCGAGAGGTCCGTGTCGGACGCCGACGTATCGGCTGAGTACCCGTGCTCCTGGGTCGATGGGAAGTACGCCGACGACGGCGTTGATGCGGACCAAGACACCTTCAGCACGTTCGAGAACACCAGCGAGTACGCGGGTATGCGCAGATGCAACGGGGCCGTGAGCTCGCTGCAGCTGCTAGCCAATATCACGGACGTCTCGAGTCACAGCCTCGATGCGTTCGTGGCGACGGTTCTGGTGGGGATGAACAAGACGCTGAACGAGTCGACGCAGCTCTCTCTGGACGAAACGACCTTCCTCCTCGAGACGTACGCCGTCTCACCGCAGTTGAACCTCACCATGCTGACGCTCGACATCCCGCTGGACCCGGCGGTGCAGTACCGAAACCTCAGCACCGACTGCACCGCCAACGGAACCTTATCGCCCGACGTCTACGATACGAGTCTCTACACTGCCGACCAGCTCGCGCAGCTCGACGAGATCTACTGCAACACGTCCATCTACCTCTACAGCAGCCCCGCCGCCACCTGCGGGTCCTCCAACTGCATCTTCCGGGACGAGTCGGGCATGGTCGCGTTCAAGAGGCAGATCCTGCTGCTGCCCTACCTCAAGAGCTGCTCCGTCAAGGACATGACGTACGGCAGCGACTACCTCAACTTCCTGCCGTCCGGGTGCACAGCAGAGGAGGATTCGGCGTTCCTCTACGGCTCTGGGACTTACATCTCGGGAGATACTTTTGACGACTCGGAAGCGCTCCCGTACATGATAAACCCGCGGCGGCACCTCGTCTTCTCCTTCGCCAAGCTCGACTGGCAGCTGGAAGACGTGAGCAAGATGTTCAACGCCGGGTGCGGAGTCCCAGGCGGTTGCTCGGGCCTCGTCCACGAGCTCCAGAACACCACGAACCCAAGCGCTAAGACGCGATCGGTGCTGGTCGTTGGCAACAGCACGATGCCCTCGGCGCGAATGGAGGCGAGGTTCATCAACCCCGTGCAGCTCGTGTCGCTCAACGCCCAGCCACTGCTGTACCCCAAGACCAACGAGCGGCACCTGTGGGAATACGTGCAGAAGGACCGATTCGTCCAGTCAACCTGGAGCGAGAATACGTTGGGGGAACTCAATTGCTCGGTGCTTGTCGACTCGTTCATCACCCAAGTGGAGAGCAACCACTACTACCTGGACGACCCCCGTCAAGCCATGTACACCTCAGCGTTATACTACCTCTTCCAGAATGCAGCAACGAAGTCCGTGACGCTGGACGATAAAGCCCCAGACGGGGTGAGCAGCTTGTACTTGGGGAGCACGCGCTTGGCCGGCGACACGGAGCGGAAGAAGATCAAATACTCCATCCCACTCAGCTCTGCCATCGCCACGTTCATCGGCATTGGCATCGTGATCGCGTTCTCCTTCATCGTGGTCGTCACCCCCATTGAGCGAGTCAAGACGTCGAGAGAGACCAACTTTGCGGCACGGTACACCGATTTACTGACCAAGGAGGAATACCCACCAGAGGTTCACAACTGCGACCTGCGAGTCCCAAGCGGTGAGTTGTTCCCTATTGAGGACTGCACAGTCGAGGGCATCACGCTGCACTCGCTAGCGGATGAGTCCGAGAAAGTTTATCTGTAGTCATTGTCTTGAGGGGGGGGGCATCAGCGTTGCGTTAATAAAAATTGCAATTAAACTGTTGATAAAATTGTGGTCAACAACTACAATTAGAAAATTGACTGCAATGATTTTATTGAATTGTACAAGACAGTTGACTTGATAAGTGTATGTGCGTGGGTAGCCAATCAAATGGTCCATACAGACCCCTATACAAACCACGAGAATACAATTCAATGCCTACATTGCAATAATGCAATGATGTACGTGTTCGCGTAGCCAAATTACACCTGCGCTAGTCTCAGTTTAGCTAGTCGGCGGCATAGTGTGGCGTCCGCATACGTCGAGTCTCCTTTGACTGGCAGTGAATCAGCAATGGTAGTCATGAGGGCCTTCCATTTACGTCGGTATTGGGCAAGCCGTCGAAGTCTCTCCAAGTCTGAGCTGGTGCGGAGGCGGTAGCCACACCCACTAGCATCAAGGTCCTGATCGAGGACAAGAGGCAGTGTGGTACGGGGCCTACCTCTCCACTTGCTGCTGTCTGAGGAAGAAAACTTCGCCTTCATCTGGATAAACGCCGGGATATCTTGTGGTCGCCGTAGAATGTGCCCGAGAAGCCCCCACCTCGCAGATGCGATCCGGTGACGGAGCGGCCGCTCGTCACACGTTGCGTGGAGATCAGCGTTGGAAATGTGGCACGGGTAACGCACATTGAGGACAGACCGTAGCTGGCGACGGTGGAAGCTTTCGAGTCGGTGAAGCTCTGTTGGTGTAAGCGCCCAGGTCCCGCAGTTGTAGAGTAGTATCGGCAGTACTTAGCAGATGTAAAGGCGAATTCGTGTCGTGTCTGTGATACGGTGCGATCTCAGCCAGACCGTCCAGAGCCGCCGAAGAGCAGCCGCAGCGAGTATTTTCCGACGCGATACGTCATCGGCATCTCCGAGCAACAAGCCAAGCTTCCGCGTAGACCCCATGCTTCTTCCTCTGCACGAGCGTGGGGGTCGTGTCAGGCAGCGGCGGAGAGTTGTGTGCTCCGTCTTTGCCGCGTTCATTTGAAGCGACCAGCGCGCGAATACTTCCGGGGCATAGGTCTGGATGAGCTCGACGAGGGCGGGGTCCCGACAGATAAAGTCGACATCGTCCGCATACACGATCGTTTGCTGGAGCAGGTCCGGCGGCATTGCAGGGTGACTAGCTAGATCTCTAAGTGCTGCTTCTAGGTAGATAACAATTAATACTGGTGAGAGTGAGTCGACCTGTGTTGCTGCCGAATGGTTGCAGGATCTGGTGGCCGATGCGGAGTGAAAGCGTTGTGTCGGATAGTAAGAGTCGAATCAGCCGGATTTCGTCGTCGTGTAGAAACTGCTGTAGAACTTTGAGGAGTTTGGCACGGTCGATCGTGTCGAACGCGCGCGAGAAGTCGATACCCAGTACATGAACGATTTCGCGATACTTTTGTACCCGTGCGCACAGCCACTTGTGGGCCCACACCACGTCAGCCGTACTGCGGCTCTTGCGGAAGCCACTTTGGTGGCCTGAGGGAAACTTGTCGACCGCGGGTGTGATGCGGCGGAGAACGATGAGTGACACCGCTTTGCGAATAGTGTTCAGGAGAACTATCGGGCGTAGGCTTGAGCACTGCCCTCGTGGCTTGTTCGGCTTCTGGAGACACAGCAGGATTCCTTGGCCCAGTGGGATGGGTTCACCGCGTTCGAAGCTGCAGTTTAGTAGATGTGCGAGTCGTGGAGCAACGTCAGCAGCGGCATACTTGAGTAGTTCACCAGGAATAGTATCGGGGCCAGCAGCACGACCGTTGTTCAGTCGAAGGAGGGCACCACGGACTTCGTCCGGCGTGATTGGGCAGTCGAGGGGTTGAGCTGTTGGGCGATACTTGAGCTTGGTCTGGATTTAGAAACTGTTCTTGGAAGTGATCTCGGACAATTTTGTTAGCTGTGTTTCTGTGAAGTACATACTTACCTGATGAGTCTTGAATTAGAAGCTGCTGTGTCGGTTTGCGGGAGAGATCGAGAGTCGCTTGAAGCCTCGATGCGTGAAACCTTTTCGTCGAGGGCCATGTTAGCGAGGTCACAGCACCGAGTGCGGATCTGGTGTAGGATCTTGTTTCGCTGAGAGCGCAGCAGCGCTGTGTTGGCCGATGTGTCGTTGTAAATGCGGAGCCGGAGCTGGCGTTGTTGCTCGGACAGCGCGGCGAGCAGCTGATCGTTGTAGCTGCGGCAGCGTCGTTGATCCGGCGAAGAAAACCCGATGGTCTGCGATGCTGCTTCGTGTAGCTTCGCAAAAGTGTCCTCCCATTGCTGGTTGATAGTGGATCCATCGTCAGCGTCTGCGGGGGGTAGGATCCGTTTAACGGCTGATGCGTAAGCGGTTCTGGAGTCGTCGTAGTGAACTAACTCGCTGCGTGCGAGGTGAACAGTTGTGCCGCTTGTGCGACGCGACGGAAACCGGAGGCGACGGATGTGCTTGAGCTCGAAGTCCGCGGTGACGATCTTGTGGTCGGACGGGGTGATGGCCCCACCCCAGGACTGGGCATCTAGACAGAACCGTCTGCAACTCTGAGGGCAGAGTACGTAGTCGATTTGATTGTAGACACAGTGTGTCCGCTTGCGTTGGCTCCAGGTGATCTTGTTTTTCGCTCGCTTGGGAAAGGCTGTATTGGTAGCAAAGAGTTGATAAGTATCACAAAAGGCAGCCAAGAGGTGGCCGTTCCGGTTACGCGTGCCTCGTGCATGAGGCCCGAGAAACGTTTCTCCGGTTGTTTTCTGCCCGAGTTTTGCGTTAAAGTCTCCGGTAAGCATGGTGATATCTCTGCGGGGGAATTGGTCCATGGCTGCTCGAAGGTCTGCGTAGAAAGCATCCACTTCGGTTAGTGGGCGCTCGCTGTGTGGAGCGTAGGCCGTGACGATATTGATGGGTCCTGTGTTAGGTAGCCGCATCTGCAAGATGCCGATACGGTCGCTGTGAGCCCAGCACCGACGGAGGTAAGGAGTAACGCGAGGAGCGATGGCAAATCCAACTCCGTAGCGCTCTTCCTGTGCCGGCAACGTTAGTAGTAAGTAGTCTCCGACCTCAAAGCGCCCCAGCTCATACAGCTTGGTCTCTTGGAGGCCGAGGATATCGATCTGGTAGCGGCGCAGGTCTTGGGGAAGCGTTTCAAACTGCTTGTATAGCGATCCTAGGGACTGCACATTGAACGAGCCTATTCTAAGGCGGTTAGTGCGGTCAGTGCGGTTAGAACGATACGGAAGGGGGGTTGTGACGGGTAGTACTGCTGGTGAAGGTGGCTGCCAAAGGGAGAGACTCGCAAGGGACTTGCAGACGCCCGAGAGCGCCTGCCGGAAGCCCGTGAGCGGCATTCGCCGCCGTCCACGCGTTCCGGGGGAGGGCGTCACCCCAACCCCAACCAAAAAATGCCTACATTGTACAATTAAAATTGAAGCGTGACGGCAAATCTCAATCAATTTTTCAATGGAAATTGACGCAACGCTGGGGGGGGCATACAAGTACGAAGCCCAGAAGCGTTAAAATACTATGTTACTTTGGATATTATTTGGCGGAGGCTGACGACAACGAGTCTCGAACCGAGTTGAAGAGGAGGTTGCCTCGACATGCCAACCGGTCGATGGTCTCCTGCATCTCGATCCTCGAGAGCGGCAGCGAGGTGCGATGCAGTTTGAAGAAGTTGCTGCGAGCCATCACCACCTCCGTTCTCGTCTGCAGCTTCTTGGGGTTGTGAGGGCACGGCACCTTGTGCTTGTGCGTCTGGACCGTCAGGATGGACGTGAGGTCCTGCCGCAGCTTCTTGTCGGGCGAGTACGGGTGCAGGTCGTCTTTGTCCACGCAGTCGATGGCGATGACGCCGTACTCGCGGCCGTCCCCGAACTCGTCGTTCTGCTCGTCGAAGTGGCAGAAGATGACGTCGTTCGACTCGACCTGGAACCCGCTGGGCGTGGAGCGCAGGAAGCGGTGCAGCGAGACGGCCTGGTTCTCGGGTTCCTCCTCCTCGCACAGCGTGAGGTCGCCCGTGGCCTCGGAGATCATGATCTCCATGTGGAAGAGGTAGAACTTGAGCGTGTCGAACACCTGCTTGGCGCTGAAGTCGCCCTCCAGCGGCATGACGACGAACTTGAGCGCGCAGTAGTCGCCCGACGGAGACACGAAGCTGCTGAGCTCCGAGCTGGGCACGCTCAAGTCCATGAACGCGGTGTGCTCGCGCATGAAGCGGCGGGCGTCGCGCAGCATCCGCGACTTGATATTCAGCAGCGTCTGCAGCCGCTGCCTCCTGTCTGCGCGTAGGTGGATGAAGCTGTCGAATGGGAGGAGCTTCTCCTGGCGACTGGTGAAGTCCGACAGCGCCGAGTGGATGCGCGCGAGGGCGAGCTGCTGGCGGTGGGCGGTGTCTCGCAGGCACGAGTTGACGAGCTGCTGCTTCTGCGTCGAGTTGGTATGGTTGTTGATCGTGGCCGCCTGGTGCTTGAGGTAGTCGACGTACTCCTCGAGCGCCGGCAGCTCCTCGGACAGCGCCTCGATCTCTTTCTGAAGTTGGCACAAAGAAGCGTTTCTCAACTTCAGAAACGCAAAGGAGGACAAGGCAACTAACTGAGCTGTACTGTGCAGGTAGGTAGGCAGACTCACCTTCCGCGCCGTGTACGTCCGCATGCGGATGTTGGAGTGCTTCGTGTCGTCGTCGTCGCTGCCGAGCGACCGCTTCCTCTTGCCTGCTGCAGTGACTGCCTTGCTACGGGTCATTGGCACTTTCGGAGACGAGCAGCAGAGCTCGTCCGAGCTGCTGTCGGTGCTGTGGTGCTCGTCCACGCAGCCCAGCAGCACCGAGAGTTCATCGGTGCCGACGGCCTGGAACTCGTCGCAGGTGGCTGGGGACCCGACACCAGGAGAGCGAAGCTTGGTGTGATCGGAAGCGTGCATCTTGCGGAATGAAAGAGCTGAGCCGAGGGACGCAGTGCAGAAAACTGTCGGTGAGTTGCAGGGGATAAATCACCGGAGAGCATCCAACGCAGGTTGGGCTCGTCCAGCGGCGTTTTGGCTTCCTCAGGACTCTGCGACCGAAACGCCAAGCACTTGTAGCCAGCGCTTGACAAAAAGGAGCAAGTACTTACTAGTACAGTACAGGTGCAACGCGTTGCCGCTCGGGCTAGATTCGGCTGACTCACGGGCGCCTGCGTTCAAAACCGCCCGTTTCCAAGTCAAACTTTTGTTGCTGCGATCGCGCACGCGCTGCGACGCATTGATAACAACGGACTGCAATGGGGCACACGGTTGCTATTGCTGCTTATCGGCGGCGAGCACTGCGCCAGCTGATCCATACGAGCAAATGTGGAGGCCTTGACGCTTGCACCACCGGCCTGTCTGAACACGCAGATGAGTACTTCCATTAATCGCGCGTGACGCGCTGCGAGTCGCCTGGGCGGACCACCTATTGACGGGCTCCGAAAGCGGAGGGCCGGTGCGTCACCCGCAATGGCTTCAGCCGAACAGCACACTCAACGGGACCCGCGCGATCTCGGCGCTGCCAAACAAACACGCCTTCACGATGGCGGCCAGCGAGTATCGAGCCCCCACGGCCTGCAGGTACGCTCGGAGCCTTCAAACACGCATAAAAGCAAGTCAGCAACGATAAACCACGCCGCAGTAGGATACAATCAGCGCACCTTGTGAACTGCGCGCAGTAGCTGGAGGCGACCGGCGCCAACTCGAAAACCGCCTCCTCAGTCTTAGATCCGCCACTATTCGCCCAGCTCGCGAGTGCTCGTCGGAGAGTACGCCGATGCTGCGCCTCCACTTGGGCTGACTGGTAGCCCAACCCAACGCTCTCTATGACGGTGCCATCTCCTGCCGGATCACCGCACGTTTGGAGCTGCATCCCGACGATGAAGAAGCGAGGGTTCCACACGCGGTAGACGAGAGAGGCTACGGGTAACGAGCTCAGTGCTACGACAGGCAACCAAAGTGCCAGCGATATGAGCACAACACTGCCACGCACGCCCGCGAAGAACACGAAAAAGACGAGATTGGTCGTCACGAGGAACACCAAAATGGTGAAGAGCAGAGTGCCGAGAAGAAGCTGCCCCACGTCGTACTCGCACGAGTCCACACGATGACGCAGCAAATTGATCTTCTTACCCAGAAAGAGCTTCGACAGCGACGAGAAGAGCCCAAACTGCAGGCGGTTGAGCTTGGCAAAGTAGAGGTAGACCCAGTGCGAGTGCCACGTCGAAAGGCTCACGAGGTCTGCCAGCAGCGTCAGCTGGAGCGTTATGCCCATGTGTCCACACACGAGCAACAGCCACTGCCCAAGGTTGCCGTCGTTACCCAGTGCCGACAACTCTTGAAAAATAAAGCTCCACAGGTTCAGCCACAAGAGGATCCCGTTCCCTAGGATGGAGGCCAAGGGTTTGTTCAGCTTGAAGCCTGCAGGGGCGCCCATAAGCCACTCCACATTGCTACGCAAAACCTCCACGACTGCAGTTGGAGAGCTGTTCCACAAACAAGAGCCCCAACGCAGTCATTAGACACAAGAACCACGCTCTCACACTGCAGAATTTTGCATCTCTCTCACATGTCGGTCGCCTGAAAAGCTGGAGTCACCAGTCCATCCAAGTACACGAGCGCTAGTCGTCCGAGTACCACATCCAGCAGCACGAAGCAAACCCAATTGAACACCTCCAGTAGCTCCAGGCCTGGCAGACGAAAGCATCGGATCGTCAGTCTCCACCGAATCAATTTAACGTCTAAATAGTAGAAGACACCCACGTTCTTGGTGCGATAGCCCCCTCTGCTTGTTCGCAAGGTAAAAATGCCGCAGCCGATTCGGCAAACTCGCTGCGTTGTGTACTTGCTGGGCCAGCACTGCCAGGAATGTCGAAAGCTCCTGCAGGACGAGAGAGATTAGCAGAGGATGTCACTCCAACCACCCACACACGTTCTCTCTTTGCTGACTAATGGAATCTCATACCGCGAGGCTTTTGCCTCCACCAACAGGGAGCCACACAGGAGTCCGCGTCGCCTGCACCAGGTGCTGGAAGGCGGTCGCCACTGCTAGCAGCGCCACGAACGGCGCGTAGACGAAGTAGAACCCCACGGTCTCCAGCAGCCACCGCACGCCTGAGCCTTCGGAGGTCTCTGTGGACTTGTGGCAGCTGCGGAATTGCTCCCCGACCTGTTGCAACAGCAGAGGCGAGTGCAGCGCCTTGAAGCCGCCGAGAGCCGCCACGGACGCGTCGAACAGCACGACGCGACGAGACTTGGACGCCATCGGCGGCAGCAGCTCGAGCCCCGCGGATGCTTTAGAGCCCAGCGACACGACGCACAGGATGTCGGGAGATAGGCGGCGGCACAGCGCGGACGGAGACGCAGCGGAAGCAGAGGACGGCGCCCACAGATGCCGCGGCCAGTACACCACCTCGGACTCCATGCTTTAGTCCCGAAATGTGTACTGTGCAGTATCCACAGCACCATTTATAGTCCTCTTTGTGTCATGGATCCACTGCACAAACTACAGACTTTTGTGCCGGTCCACGGCCTATTTATGAATGGCGTTACAGCAACCATATGACGACAAATTAAAGCAACCACAAGGCCTAAAGCAACCCTAAAACCAGCTGGCACCCGGTAATTTATTTTAAATGACGCGTAAATGACAGGGACACGTCGCCCTCGTCATGGTCTTGCTACATATATATCTAAATTTAGACACGTCGTGGTGGCGTCTAACTGATGTTCTCTATACAGCAATACGTGAAACACATGACAATATGTGTCCCACATTTTCAACACTTAGCAGATTTTGAGCGACAGCAAAAATGGAGAAGAAATCGCTGGCACATGAGCTGGTGCGCGCGAGAATCGCCGAGATTGCACTCCTCAAGAAGAAGCTGGATGAGCTTACCGAGCATCTGGAAAAGCTTCTGGCAGCGCAGCTACAAATCCAAGCCCTCGTCGAAGATCGCGAAGAGAACAGCTATGCGTTAGCAGCCGTCTTGGGCGATGAAGGGGCCGACCAAGGTGGTCTCACCGCAGAGGACGACGCTGTTTCCCTCGATGTTCTACTGGAGCTGGCGGTGCGAAAATGAAAGACTAATGCAGCATAGACTCTGTATTTAAAGGTAAATACAGACTGTGGTGTTTCTCAGAGCTGGTTCTGTAGCTGCTGATGAACCTGGCTAGCTTTAGCGACGTCGCGTTCAGAGAGATGACGATCTTGGGAGTAACACATGATGACCCACAGCATTTTCAATCGCATCACCTTGACGTCGTTCTTGGAAATTCTAGAAAGTTGCATCTGCAAGTTCCCCGTAAGATAGCTGTGGGCTTGGGCTACTACCATTACACCACAGCTAGCAAAATCAGGTTGTTGAGGGGCACAGATCCACTCAATCGGATCGAAGAAAAGATGGCCACGGGGGTCAGAAGCCTTGTACCACCGCTCCACATAACCACGAAGCCCCTCCTTTCCTTCATTTTCTTTGTCTTTCGGAATTCCAGTCCACACGATTTCCATTTCATGGTGATAGTCACCATCAATGAGCGGCTCGTACATGTAAACATGCACCCGAAGCTTGCTTGTTTTTGCCGTGTAGCGTAGGCGAAGGATAATTACCCCCCAGTGGTCTGCGTACACATTAACGGGGTGGATAATAAAATTCGTTGCTGCAAGTGCTGTCTTAGGGAGACTTGGCCATCCGATAGCCCATGTCAGTGATGACAGCACATGGCACTTCCCCACCGATCTCGCAAGGGTCTCCAAGCAAAAGTCCACAGGACTATCATTTAGCCATCCACGACAGATCCCTCCCACGATGTTGTCAAAACTGATCAGGACTTTGTTGGAGAGCGTCACAAATTCAGTGCGTAGCCGACTTGAAGTAAACTTTGAGATAATTTCGTTCGCTAGACCTTGGTGCCGCTCGGGAACAGCATCACGCGGTAGTCCTGCAGTTGCTGTCTCCGCAGCGAAAAGATCCACGATGGAGTCAACTTTACGCCAATCTTGCTCCAGCCACTTTCGGTCCTTCAACCATGAGGTACACTTCGCCTTGATCGCGTAGAATCCTGTTAGAGCACCTACATATTGTCTAGAAACATAAGCATGTTAAAGCAACCCTATTAAAGCAACCATATCGCTAAAGCAACCATACCCGCTAAATTTCCACAGTTTTGGATCAATCGCCAAGACGACGTCGAGAACAAGTCCTTGCTTCTTGGCCTTTTCATCCAGTACAATTGGCTGCTTCTCCTTCCGGGTAGTAGTCGTTGCTGCCTGCATTGATAGGGCGAGGTCTTGTGGAATTACAAATGTGTGCATGTAGTCCGCAGGTCGTACAATTTCCCAATGACAATCAATCTTCCGAGCTCTTAGATTGGCATCATCCAGCTGAACAGGATACTTCGACAGCATCTCCATCACGCGCTTCAGATTTGAGGTGTTTCTGGCCCAAATCAGGAACTGATCCAAAGTCACGGCAAGTTCAGTGGGGTACTTGTGAACAGCAAGACGCTCAGCTTTGAGACTGATCGTAGTTTGCCTCAGCTGTTTCGGAGTTGACCTTGACTTTCCTTGGCTTGGTGGCTTAGGAACTCTAACGACATCGACCTGGCGCACGCGCGACTCTGTGTCAGGCTTCGTAGAGCTTGAAACCTTGTCACAGCTTCTCATTCCGCAGCTGTCATGAGATTTCTCGTCGATGGGGGGTCGAATTGGAGATGACTGCGAAAGGTGAGTGCGTTGTGTCGGTAACATACTTTCGTCGGACTCGTAATCGCCATAATTCATGGTCATGGGGCTGCTTTCCAATGCGTCCATGAGCGTCATAGTCCCCATTGCCTCCACGGGGTCCAGAATGGAGTCTGAGACAGATTCAGATACATCTTCTTCTTGCTTGCTATCTTCAGCAGATTCTGTAGAACTCGGTTGGGGGGCAGGGTTGACACGGTTGAGCCCTATGTCGATCGTTTCCTTCCAGGCACTTAGCTCTTGGTAGAAGTCTGCACTAGACAAATCTGACAGGTGTTCCAATAGCGGTTCCAGCATCGCTTTTGCGTATGCGTATTTTTCAGCTGAAGACAATACAACCTGGTTTGCCCGTTCACCTCGCCGTAGCCGTACGTACGCAACTTGCTTCCTAGCTTTGGTTGGCGAAGTGTTACCCCCCCCCCCCCGCAGCATAAAGTGGTTGTTCTGGTTCAGCCCCAGTGTCGTTCGGCAACTTTACTTTCGGCAACCTTAACTTGGACATCTGCACAATTGGCTGTAACATTTCCGCTGCAGCCGTCAATTCGTTTTTCACTTCCAAGGTCTGGTACGTACTCCACCGATCATGAATTGCCATAGCTGGAAGCAGTTTGAAGCCATGCCCCTGGCGTGCTAAGTGCATAAGATGACGACATGGTAAATGGTGACTGCTATAAAATAGACAAGTACACGTCCACTCCACATCGTGACAGCGAAAGGTTTGATTCCCGCAATAAATTTTCCATTGTGAAGGACTCGACGCTGTACGCTCACAAGTCGCATCTGCCATGAAATTCACAAATCGTTTCCACTCTTTTCTCACTTTCTCGAAAATGTCAGGGTACAGTCGAGTTGCTACCGTCCGGAGAACATCGGTATGGTTTTAGGAACGGGCGAAGTAGAATGGTGCTGCGCGATGACGAACCCGATCTGCTGAGTTATCATGATTTGATGCTGCACCAAGCCCGCAATAGTCTTGTCAATTCGTGTCGTGCCCCAACAGTATTTTCACTTGATTCCAGTTTGACTCGATCCTGTTCGTTGTAGTATTCCCAGCCGTGAAAAATTTGCTGCGAGCAAAGTTCGCCCACATGTCTCGACACGAATCCCAGTTCTTTTCAAAGTACGAGAATAAAGCTTGTTTCTTGTTGTCTTCGCAGTATTGCTTCAATGCACCGTAACTAGAATCGTAACCTGTCGCTGTGGAGCTGCATATGGTTTGTTTTCCAAAGTTAGCGTTACCACAAGAATCATAAATAGAACCTGTTGCGTACCTGTACAGCGTTTTTATCATCAGGTTGAGTAACTCGTCGCGTTCAGAAACCTTCAGCTTGTATGGGGCCCGCTGCATCACCTTCTTCCAGTACGAAATGGCATGTAATTGACAAAGTAAAACTTTCGCAGCAGGAAATAGTGTTTTCAGCACCCTCCACTCAACGAAATCTTTGTCGATCACGATGGAGGATATCATCCGCCAACTTGGGTTCTTCTCTTGGAAATACTCCAGGATTGTTGTCATCATCGGAGCTCGTTGGTTGAGGCATATGAAGTCTACAACTGGGAACCCTCTACCAGTAGCGGTTGTGACGACCAGACTCCCTGAAATATCCAACACACAACAGTAGAAAATCACTTTGTTAATGAGGTTGCTATATCATCGATATGGTTGCTATAACTACGCAAGGTTGCCGTAACAAAGATAAAGTTGCTATACCGAACAACTCATACGCACCCAAGTGATAGCCCAAATTGTTCGTGCCGTGAGTGAAATCCATCGTAAGAGTGTCGCCCCAGCGCTCGAACATCAACTTCTGCATCTTTGTTTGCATCACGATACCGCATGTCACGTCCATTTGGTCTTGAATAACAAGAACGTCACTACCGTCTAACTGGCGGATAGCTTGCAGCATGTCTTTCAAACGGGCCTCCGCTGCGTCGTGTCCCATAATACTGCGGATCAGATTACGGGTCTGTTGAGGTGTTATTTTGCAGCCTAGCAAACACACAAAGCGCGAACAGTAACGTAAGTATCACTTCAGCATATCATATATAAAACTACGCACCGATTCTCTCATTCAGGAAGTTCGTGATGTGCTTGGAAGAAACACTAGCATCCGTTAAAGTCTTAACATCTTCGAGATCTTGCTCGTCCAACGGAAGTGTCTTTGTTGTCAGGTACAACGATGCTTGCGTGTGGTCGGGTGCGTGTGGGTAAAGTTCTGATTATCAACAGCGACATGTGAGAAATACTAACAAAGCAAACAAATACACGAATAGGCAGATACCTCGTTTCTTATGAAAAATCGAAATTTGCCATTTTTCATCCGCTGAACGGTTGGTGTCATGCGTGCAGGACACCTTTACTATTGCGATGTTCCTTGGAGCGCGACGCTTGCGAAACACCGTGTGTACAGCGGAGGACCTTGTGACTCCAATTAAAACGTGAAGGGATTTGGTCCCGATGATTGCTGCATATGAAAGGGGGTTTCGTTAATAACTTAAATTTCTCGTCAAACAGAGGTCACACATACCTGTTGTACTGATTTCGTGTCTCCGAGCTTCGTACTCGAAACTTGAGGTGGTGCTTCCGCTTGTATATTTTCAAGTGTGCGTTGAACTTGCTCCAACTCTTGATAATCGCTGGGGTAAAGGCCGGAACGGGGTTGATAATTTCTTCGCGCTCCTCGCTGATCTCCCGCAACTCGTCAAGGTGCTTGCTTGATCGCTTCCGCGGTATGTACTGCTTGTTCCGCTTGGATAAACGCGGGGCAGAATCAGCGTCGACAGACTCTTGAAGCTGCAGCTCCGCCTTACGCTTTTTCGCGAAAGATTGGGCTTCATCCCCAGCAGAAAGTTTGCATTTGGCCAGAGCGGTATCTATCGATTCCAAAGTGAATGTCAATATTTTATGATAGCGCAACCTTTTTGCTTAAAGCAACTTTAACGAGAATATCTGGTGTTTTCTTGCGTGCTGTGGCTTTCTTTCTCGGCTCGGGGCTCTGTTTGCGTGTCCTGCGTTCTAAACAAACTAAAAAAAGTATACAATACATTATCAGTTCAACTCAATAAGTATCAACATTAATCCAAACGAGTCTTACCCGCTTCTGCTTCGTCTTCTGTGCTGGATTCTCCGTCGTCGTCTGCCTCCTGTTCATCGTCACTCGCCTCCTCTTCATCGTCGTCACCCTCCTCTTCATCGCTATCGCTCTCCTCGTCATCATCGACCTCTTCTTCGTCTTCCTCCTCTTGGTAGCAATCCTCCGCCTCTTCGTCGCCGTTGTCTTCCTCATCCTCCTCATCCAGAACAAAGTCTTCGTCTTCGTCGTCGTCTTTTTCAATCCCGAGAGCGGCGTACATGTAGTTTAGCTCCTCGTTTACGTTCCGCAGCTTTCGGCCTAAACAATACATACCGACAGAATTCAAACAAAATGTGAGGCACGTAGATACTCTCGTTGCCACCAACATGGAGCATACTGATTACCGTTTATAATGGCTCCCCCGCAGGAGCCATCGGTCCCCCCTCGCCGTTTGGTGCTTGACTCATTCGCGAGAGGTGCGTGCCCCACGTGGCGCGATTCTTAAAATGAGCGGCTGTGAGGTGGCGCACTTAATGGCATCGTACCTAATCAGAAGCGCACTTTAGCGTGATTTGCGTACCTAAGGGCTTAATGGTAATTTAGACATTTAAATTACGCTCGTAATTTTTGAAATCCCTAAAAACAACCATACATGTCTCAGAATGGCTAAAAGCAACCATACTTATGGTTGCTCTAACCACTCCCCCTATTTATCGTCGTGTTTGTATCATGGATACATTCGACGTACATCTTCGTCCCAATTCCAAGTCATAGGTCAGCATCATGGAGGACGAGCTCATCGCGCAGCGCGACGCGGCCATCGCCGTGACGAAGGAGCTGCAGCGGCAGCTGCAGAGCCACCGCGAGCAGGTGGAGCGCACCTTCGAGCGGCGCACGCTGAACGCGGAGCGTCTGCGGCTCCACGCGGAGGAGAAGCTGCGGCGCGCCGTGGAGGACCGCGACTGGAGCGAGAGCTGCTGCCGCCGGCTGCTGGCGCTCGCGCTGTTCCTCGGCTGCGGCGGTGCCGTGGTCGGCTGGAACCTGGGGATGCTTGTGCTGCTGGTGCTGGGCGAGCCCCTCGTGGGCTTCCTGCTGGTGCTGCCTGGTATGGCGCTGGGCACGTTGGTGGGGCTGGCAGTGGCCAAGACGAAGATCCAACTCGAGAGCAGGCGCCGAGACGCCAAGAACAAAGACGCCAGACGCCATACAGAGGTGGAGATGGCCGTCAGCAGCGGTGTGAGGGAGCAGGACGCACCGCTGGAGCCGCTGGAAGGAGTTCCAGGCTTGGAGGACGTGGCGGAGAGGAACTCCAGGCAGGCGGAGCAGGACAGGAGAAGGGATGAGGCGAGCGACAAGGCAGCTGGATCTACACCGCTGCTCGCCTTGGGCTGGAGTGCGGCCTGGTTCACGCTGCAGACGTCCAAGGATATTGCGGTGGGGCTCTACCACGGAGGCGACTACGTGCGAGGCATTCTGCATCCGCCTGAAGACACCAAGAAGAAGGACCAATAGATGTTTTTCACTCGCGTAGCGCGGTAATTGCAGTCAAGTATTAACCAACAGCAATCAGATCGAGCGAGCTGGCATGGAGTCGCGACGAGCAGAGCAGCCCCGCCCACGGCAACCTGTGCTGAGTCCTCCCGGAGGACACAACGCAAGACTCCTTTGCTGCTTCGAGTTGACGTCGAGTCGACAGTCCCAGCGCGTGCACGCGGGTGGCTACACGGGTCCGTGCACAGCAACAGGGGATGCCCACCCCAGCAGCAAGATCCAGAGGCGGCGATCACTTTGCCTCTTTTGCATGGAGTCTGGTGGCTACCTTTTCCCGCGAAGTAACTTACATGTAATAGTGAGAAGAACGACGACCACCATTGCGGCTTGCTTGTCCGCTTCGTATACCGGTACCACCTGGCGCGCCGCGGGCGTGCTGATATTGAGGCTCTTGCAGCATGAGTCATGCTGCGTGAACGCCGCGTTGAACACACGGTGTGTTCACTGGACGTCACGTACAGCTTGTGTACCGTCGGCAAATCCCGCCGCTGACTCATGTCATGTCCTCGGTGCCCTGCAGAAACGTTGCTGTGGAGTGCCGCGCTCGCTTCTCCGCGCGGGCCGACGGCTTTCCAAAGAGAGGCTGAGCTTACATGTACTGCGAAAAATGGGGGAAAGCCTCGGACGTGCGCGCACTCTCTCACTCTCTCTCTTTCTCTGCGATAAGCCTCGCGCTGATACCTGTACCCGTCACGGAAGGCCGACAGGGTCGAGCGTGGCGGTGCTCACGAGACGTGATCGACATCAACAGATCGGTCAAAGGATCGGCGAGAGGACGACGACGAGAGCAGCGACACTCGATCGTCGTTCGATTGCAATGCATCAGCGCATCCGTTCGACAAGCTTCGAGAAGCCAAGGGCGCCTGCTTGATCGCGCGGCGCATGCCGTCCACCCAAGTGCGTGGAGGAAGAAGCCCAAGCTCTTAGCGCTGCGCTTGTCGGCCGCTGCGGCCTCCGCACGGGCGCGTTGCGCCGGGTTTCCTGCTGCGTGGAAATGGCTTCGCTGTTGCCCGCCATCTCGTCACCTCCGTGACAGCGAGTTGATCCGACCTTGCCACAGCTGGCCACGCAGCAGCTGGTGCCTGTGGCTCGGACTCCGAGTCGGAGCTGTCGACGCTAACGCGATGAGGCACTCGGGGCAAGAGGCAACGCGACGGCGATTCCCGCGGGGATGGCGTAGCGTTCGGCGGTCGTCGATGTAGATAGCAACTTTGCAAGATACAATGTCTTGCCCGTGGGTTCATCGTGCAGAGCATCAGTGGAGTAAGCAAAGCGAAGTAACACCAAAACGTAGCAGGATCGACAATAGGTTATATGTTACACTTTTATCTACAGGGCCAATCCCTCACCTCCTAAGCCGCTGCAGTGGACCGCTCCTCTTGTTCTGTCGCTCTTGCTCAGCTGGGTAGATTCGCTTGCTCATGCACTAGGTATCTCACACACGTTGGGGGGGAGGGGGTCCCGCCACGGACCGGGCTTACACGGCCAGGTCGCTCACGCCCGAGGGACTCGACTCCTTGGGCATGTCCTGCTTTACATCGTTGGTGTAGCTGGCGCTGGGGCTTGAGAAGTCCGACGAGATCTCAAACGGCACGAGGCTGAACTCAATGGCAGTCACGACGTTGTCGTCGTCTGTGAGGACCGAGGCCATGAGCGTGAGCGTCGCGATGTTGTTGCCTGCTCCCTGCGCCTGCACGATCGCGCTGATGGGCTTCATGCTGCTGCTGACCGACTGCACGACCGCGTCGAGCTTGCCGTTGTCCAGGCACAGGCTGGCGCGCAGAGTGTTGACGTCCATGAGGTTGTCCATGGTCTGACCGGTCTGGGCCAGGAAGGCCGAGTTGACGGCCATGAGCTGCATGTTGAGGTCCGCCACGAGGCGTGGCGTGCTCGACTGGTCGAAGCAGCGCTTGAAGACGGCGTCAATGGGGCCGCCGCCCTGCGCCTGCGAGCGGAAGCTGTCCGCCTGCTTCTCGGCGCGCTCTGCCTTTTGCTTTGCGATCAGCAGGTTGCTGCGCAGCATGCTGATGTAGTGGTACGTGTTGTCTAGGATGGACTGCTTGTTCTTCTTGGACTGCACGCCGGCCTCGTCCAGCAGCGTCTTGAGCTGGTTGATGCGGTCGTTGAGCTTGAACATGCGCTTCTTTTCCTTCATGTTGAGCTCCTCACGCGAGCGCTTGGAGCCCGAGTGCGAGGGCGTGTGGCCGCCGCCCACGGAGCCGCCCGAGTTGTAGTCGGTGGACACGTGCAGCATTTGCGCCGTCATGGGCGGGGGCGCGTAGTACTGGCCGGGGTGCTGCATGTTTATCATGATGGGTTCATGGTCGAAGTCGCCCTGCTGCGGCTGGTGCTGCGGCGTCTGGCCCTGGTGCTGCGGTGTCTGCATGTGGTGCTGCGGCGTCTGGCCCTGGTGCTGCGGTGTCTGCATGTGGTGCTGCGGCGTCATGTTGTTCGGGTGCACGAGCTGCTGGAAGTCGTGCATGCCCGGGCCGTGGTAGCCGCCGCCATTGCCGCCGTGGTCCAGCGACGTGCCGAAGAGCTTGGGGCGCTCGCCGCTGTGCTGGTGCGCCTGGTAGTGCGAGTAGCCGTAGTCGTTCTGGAGCATGGTCGGGTCTGCCGGTCGGGTGGTGTGTGAGGTGAGCGGCCGAGTGTCGAGTGCCGCCGGGTGGTGGTGGCAGGCAGTGAGCAGTGAGCAGTGCGCGGGACGCGTCCAAATGGGAAATGACAATATGGCAGGCAGCAGCTGGTAGAGGCGGCGCTCGCCTCGCCGCTCATCGGTTTTCGAGATCCGATCGGTTTTGACGGGTTCGGCCTCGAGCGTCTTATCGCGCTGCCTCTACAGACAAGAAGGCGAGGCCGGGCTAATTTCTTCCGAGGGGGAGTACTGTAGGGCGCGCCATTCCGGCACTGCAAGCGAGCGCCGCCGCCGCCGCAACCAGCCGCCGCTGCAAGAGCCGAGGCCGATTACCTGGCGCATGTGCGGACAGCGCGCAAACGCACGACAGCTGGCGCGCGTGGAGGACGGAAGACAAGAAGCGGAAGCAGAGCCCCGCGCCGAGCGGGCAGGCAGGCTCCGCGCCGCAGCAGCGAAGGCGGAGGCGATAGGCAACGGGCTCCGCTATTACTATGGAGAGGCTCAGAGAGCAGATCAGCACTCCAGTTGACCAGCGCTCCCCATCCTGTGCGCAAGCTCCGCGGCTCCATCCTCGCACCCACCCATGCATGCAGGCAGGCAGCGCGGCTTCAAGGTGAAGTTGCCGCCGCCTACCTACGCGACGCACGCAACGCCGAAGCTGGCCAAGCTGTGTGTTGCCTCGCTTGCACGGCGGCGCCGAGTCTTCGCGGGCTTTCTTTAGAGATCGACAGCAGACCGACCTGATGGCCGTCAACAGCCGGCGGAGACTACCAAAATCGTCAATTCATCTTCAGCGCGCGGGGGGTCTGGTAAACTTCACCATCCGGCACATGGGACAATATTTTGCTGAAGAACTGAGCCCGGGGCGTGAGAGGCAAGCATCGTCGACCGTGCTCAATCTATTTTTCAAGCGGATACTCCTCCCGAGCGCAGAGGGATCAGGGGTGCCGTCGGTGCCGGTGCCGACGTTGACGTTGACGTTGCCGTGTCGGCGCGCAGCGGAGACGCTCACTGCAGCCAGGGTTTGCTGGCCTCAGTCCAGCGAGCCCGAATTTCCGCTGCGGGGGTCGGCCTGGGGCAACACAATGCAGGCAAGAACCCCTATCCTGCGAGATGGCCGCTGCCGCGCACGTACCCGAGTTGCTCATGGCGGCCGATAAGAGAGCCCTTTAAGGCGGAGCAGCAGCTGCTTTCGGCGAGCTGCTGTTTGAGGCTCCCGTGAGTCAACCGCGCGGACAGAGCTGGCGCCGTCCGCTGCGCTGGTCGTCGCCGCACCACTTCCCGGCGCCTTGCATAGAGCAGCCCACGGGGAAGAACACGTGGTTTGCCTCGTCGTCTTCGCGAGAGAAGGCGCCTGCCACCCGCCAAACGATCGCCAAGCCACATGGCATGCCGTGCCATGTGAGCGAGAGCGGTTCCGGTTGCCGTGCGTCTGAAGACGATGGCTGCAGCGCTTCGTCTCTGTCGGAACGCCGCTGACGCCACTACGCTGAGCTGGACGCCGCATCCGTACAGCGGCTCTCCTTGTCACTCGCGATCCAAAGAGCACCGCTGTCGGCGCCTGCGCGAGGTCGGAACCAGAAGGTTGCCGGCTGAACCTGCAGCCGGCGGTGCCGGTGTCGAGACGTGCGAGGCAGCAACGCACACCGAAGCCATCGCGCCTTCTGCTCGACGTGAAGCAGGCAGCTTTCGGTCGTCGTCGCGATGCAGAGCAAGAAGTTGTCACCGCTTCAAACCCCACTGTATCAGATGCGCACAGCAGCGACCGACCGACCGACCGCCTGACTTGACGCCTGTGTCAACCAACGCTGCCTGCTGAGCTCGTTGTCTCGAGTCGAACATCGACAGCTGAGAACCGCTGAAAGCCGGCTATGATAGCCGAGACTAGTGCGACCGGTTGCGCCAACCTAGACTTGAGACGGAGGCGTGTTGCACCAGCGAGTCTCGCATTGCAGCCCGCTGAACCAAAGCGGATTCATTGAGACGCGGGAATCAACTTGGCGACGTTAGAGGTGAGTTTCAGAAGGATGAAGCTTCGCAGAGCAGAGCACAGAGCTTGCCTGTCCAGGCAAGATCTGACTTGGCCGTAAACCCGCGGCGTCCTCGCGCTGTCAGCTTGTCGACGCCGCAACTCAACGACCGGTGTTGCAATGCAACGACTGCTACCGTCACACAAGAAGGAAGCCGCGCCGAAACTTCCCCACCGAGCCGCCAGCCGGTCAACTTCAACGGCGGTGCTCGCGCTGGTTTCGGTTCTCGGCTGCAAGGGGATCACAATGGACCCGCAGCTAATACATGTACCTCAGAGGTCAGTGCAGTTCGGACAGTTGCTGAGGAAACGCTCACTCAGTTCATTAATCATTTCGGTGCTATTTGTATGGAGCCCCTGAAACACTTTCATGGTCTCTCATCGATTTCATTTGTCTGCTCCCCCGCGCTCCTGTTGCTGGTACAGGTTCGTCGCGTGCTCGTCCAGAATGGCGACGAGGAGCCGGTTGTGCGTTGGCATCGGCGTCAGCAGCCACTCCTCCCGCTGCGTCGGCGCGGTCGAGTTCAGCAGCTCGAGCTCCAGCGAGAGTTGGTCCAACGCGCGCAGGTAGAGCATCTTATCCACGCGCGAGACGCGCCGCTTATTGTCATACAACAGCACGGCCGTTGGTGCGATCTCCGTCGTATTGCCAGAGCGAGCGGGTCTTATTACCAGGCGCAGTTGAACCACGCTGTCGTGGCACACGCTGGCATTCACTTGATACACTCCGTCTTTCACGATGGTGATGGCCTGTGTGAGCCCCACGTCGGACTTTGTGGGCTGGAAGAACGGCTCCGCGATCTCGATCAGCTCCTTCCACTCCACAACATACTTGCGTGGAGTGGCCGCCGTTGCTGGTCGAAGAATAGAGGTCTCGGTATCGGTGGTGGCTCCGGCTATCAGCGCTCGGCACGGCTGAAAAGCGGTCATCCAGTCCGAGCACGCGAACACCCACCTCATGGCCCGGTTCCTGTCGCGTTTCTCCTTCTCTAAGGCCAGCTTCGAAGCCTCGGTCTTCTTCTCGACACGCTCAGCCACTCGCTGCTCAAGCTCCTGCTGGCTCTGTTGTTGCTCCTGGAGAAGCGCGCTCTGGGCCGCCATCCTCACCTGAACCTGGGCTTCGACCTGCAGAGACAGTGTCCGCTCATTCTCCTCCTCTTGCTGCCGAAGCTGGTCACACAACTTGTCGCGATCAGTCTGGACATGTACGAGCTGCTCCCTCAGACGCTCTACTTCTTTTGCAAGGTGCTGCAGTCGATCGTCCGTCGGTACCAGCTTCATCGGGAAATGGTGATCCACTCGAAAGAGGTCGAGTGCTGGGTAAGCTACGATCAGCGTCAAGCCATCGCCACTGCCATCGGAGTCTCCTGAGTGTTTTTCTGCCGTGGAGGTTCGAAGCAACACCTCTCCCTTTTCGCTCGCGGGCTTCGACTCGGTAGCCGCCTTGGGCTCTGGCCCCACAATCACGACTGCGTCAGGCTGACTGCTTAGGCACCGAAACAATGCCGTCAGGACCGTATCGGTGGGCATGCGAACGTTGGTATTTGCCTCGGGAAGCTCCAGGACGTCAGTGAAGCTGTACTCGCGCTGCTCATGAGACGACAAATTCTCCATCCAGATCGTATGAACTGGCGGCTTATCTGCCGACACCGTTACCCTGATGTGGTATTTGTTGTCGAGGTCTGGAGGAATTACGACCTGCGATAGCTCCATCCAAACTGATCCAGAAGCACGAGTGTCATCCGTACCGCTCTTCGGGTGTGACGGTGGGGTGGGAGCGAAAACTTGAGGCGCTTTCGTCGAAGAAGAGAGAAAAGAGTGTGTGGGAGTCGGCACTGTTGAAGGCGCTGGTGCGGCTGTTGCTGCTGGTGCTGGTGCTGGTGCTGGTATTGGCGCTGGAATCGTGTTGCTCGTTTCTTGAGTAGAGTGAGCTGGTACGGGCTCCTCCTCCTTCTGTTCTCCTGGCAACTCAACGGGCGGACTCATGATAATACTCGTCGCAGGAGAGGACTGGCCACTCTTAACGCTGTTGGCTCGGGAGTGCACTCTCGAAGGAGGCCGACGCGGAGGAGACTCGCCGTACAAATCAACACCCAGATCGAAGCCGTTGTCATCGTTATCCTCCCAACCTTCATCATGAGCAGTGTTCGTGTCCTCCAGCAAGTTTCGTTGGGCAGATCTCGCCTTCTTTGCGACGCGAGCTTGGGGAACTTTATGCTTGTTCTGTGTCGTTCGCATTTTGCCACCATGCTTGTCCGAACTTGCTACTTTTTTCGGGCTGCTACGCGAATGACTTCGCGGCTGGGTCTTGGGCTGCCAGTTAGACCTCTTGCTAGTATGCATGACGCCTCCTTTCCTGTGCGACGTCTTCAACAAGGGTCGCGTCTTGTGCGTATCACTTGGAGTGTCGTCGTCGTCGTCGTCGTCGTCATCGTCATCTTCATCATCAAGCGATTTTGCAGATCGGTGGTGCTTACGCTCGGGCTCAGGTTTCGTTTCAGCCTTCGCTTTTACCTCCACTTTGTGTCCCCCGCTGGCTTTACCAGTGGCTTTCCGCTTGACGTCTCGAACCTGAGCCTGAGCCTGTTTGTGTGATCGAGATTTGCCTGTCGATGGCTTCACAGACCGCTTGGTGTGGGCGGCGATTTCTAGATCCTCTTCCTCCGGTTCGTTGTTGGTGTCCTCTTCCTCCTCCGAAGACGACGTCGATGAATCCGCTTCCTCCTCCACTTCATCATCATCGTCCTCTTCCTCGTCAAAGCCCCTCCCTGTCCACTCTTCCTCCTCCACGCTACTGGCACTCTCTACTGCGACTCCAGTCTCCTCGTCCTCACTGGAGTCCGACGACAGCGCGATGGGGTTCTGCGCCGAGTTCCCCACCTTGTTCTCAGACGACCGCCGCCGGTGTCGCCTGTGCTTTCGCTTCGGTCTGTTGCTCTCGCTGTCACTGCCCCCGCTATCGATGTCCATTGTCGCCTGACTGGTTCTGGCGCTGCTGCAACTACGCGCTCGTCGTTTGCCTCGCGCCAGTCCGTTGGCTGGGGGCAGTACGCTCAGAGGCACGGTCTCCTCCCCAAAAATCTTCACCTTGCGCGCGTAGGCCACGAGCTCTGCCTCGCCCAGGAAGTAGTCCTTGCCCTGCTTGTGGTTCGGGTTCCTCGGGTCCTTGTTTGGCTTGACGTAGTAGTGGTCATAGCTGAGCTCCGGACCGCGCTTGAACGTCCAGCCTTGCTTGGAGAAGTGGGCCTTGACGTCGCGGAAGTTGTAGACCCCGTACGACAGCTCTTGGGCGCAGCAAGCAGCAGCAGCAGCAGAGGAGGTTCAAAGCAAAGTCAGGAGCCTAGCGCGAGGGGATTGCCGCCGATCGACTCACCGTGGCGCTTGCGGCGCTCCTCTCCAAGCAGGTCCATTTTGGCGCGCTAAAAATCGGTGCCAATTCGCTGCTGATGGTTCATTTGTGTGGCGATTACATCAATTGTATGTGGCATACATAGTTTGGGCCAATGATTTGCACCGGTGAAAAAGGCAACTCGAAGAGTTTCACATCAATGACAGGATAGGATCACCTACAGCACGATACTAGCTCGATTCTTGGCTCTCGGACTCGATAAATCCCCGATGCGTGCTATGCTATATGATACTCGTTCTCAACTGAGCGTGTGGGTGGTATGACGGCAACAATATATTAATAAGAACTTTCTTGCAAGGTCCAATGGTGATGAAAGATTTTTATTTAACTGGACGTGTAGATTATAATATAATCGATATATTATTGTGCTTTGCAGATAAAATGTCGCCCCGTTTTATGGCCTAGATCGAGGAAGACCGGTCCACAAATCAGGGTACAAACAGAGGCGGTAGCTCGATTTACTTAGATCGACCTCGAATTGCGCTTTTGAAAACGCAAAAGGGATCGATTTACCGTAGATCGACCTCGTTCTGCCCAGATCCACCAGGAGATCGACCTCGAGCCCTGATTTGGATTGTCGTAGCTCGAGTTATTAGCCGGCCTAAATAGATCGATCTGTCCCTTTCTTTGACCTCGTTTTATTAAATCGACCTCGACTTAATGATAAATCGATGAGAGCTCCAAGTCAAAACGACAAAACGTTTGCAAAGCACAATATATCGCCGAGTAAAACATAATCAAGCAGTCGATAGATTAGGAGTGGTACACTTATTATAATACCGTTTACAGTTTTCCCATTCTGCTTTGAGCTCACCAATGGTTAGTCATATCATGAAAGCCACCACGAAGGTTATCCCTCCCTCACTAACATACTGTATCGGCAAATATCTCCGTCATCTTGCTCGAATGCTCAGGTTGCAACTTGCAACCGGTTCTGCCTTGCAAGTTGCAAGGCACAACCGGGTGTGGTACAAACTGATTCCACTCGTGGTTCAACAACGAATTCGATACATACTACCGATACAGTAATCTGCCCGAGTAAGGAACGCCTGATATATATAAAGACGCAGAATATATAAATTGATGTTAAGTTGAGTATACTTTTCCAATGTACTGATTTAGTTATTTCAAAATGAACTGAAGAGCAGCTTTACCTACGAGTCCGGAATGATTCCAACAGTGGCGTATGGTCGAAGCACTAACCTTTGACCAGACATCCTCGCACCACAACAGCGATGTCAACTGGTCGACCTCGTAGGGATTATCTAGCCCTTCACCAAGCCGGTCGCATCATTTTAAGTGAGGCGGAGACGCTTGGACCGTGTGGACTTCATGGGTGGAGTGGGGCTTGTGGGGCGAGGTGCAAAAGCAAAAGTGCGAGTCTACCACTACGGTACATGTAGTTTGAAGTCTAGTAAGATCGCTAAATGCGCGCCATTTTTCAAACGAGGGTGGAGAGCTGATGATTGGCACTAGATTTTTCACCTTAGTACCTCAGTACCTTGCAGTACCTTGCACATCCCCCTATCGCCACATCGACTGGAAAATAATATTAAATATGTGAGGCTATTAGTTGTACACCCGTTCCTTATTCGGGCAGAATTCTGTAGAACAATTAACATCACAAGTGCCAGCTTTGGTACGTTCTGGCCAGAGCTTAGCTTATTAGCAAACAATTCGTGCGTGTGTAGCATGGGTCAACGCTAGCTGCAACCGTACCGGTGGAGATCGTGAACTATTACGCCGATAGAAGCCATACGTACCGACGATCGCGTATCGCTATTGCCATGAAGGCGGTGTGGACATCTCCGTAGCTCTTGTTTTTGAGCGCACGCAAGTATCTCAAGAACCATCAAAGGGCTGCGCGATCCGTGGGGCCAGCTACGGCGTGCTCGTATCGTTCGCTGTTCTGTAGTCGACCAGCTACTGCTGCGAGTGTTCCACTTTCAATATGAAAAGGCCGTACACCGTATACAGTACCACTTGACAGTCAAGTGTCAGACCAATTCAATTCTGCTGCATTCCCGCGATCATTTACCATGACTACAGTGAGTGGAGCTGAAGTCAAAGCCCCCCTCTTCCACCGAAGGCCTCGCAATTCCGCCACCACCTCACTCTCTGTGCTAACGTCGTTGCATCCAGCGACTTGGCAGTGCTCCGTTTCGTGCACAGTGAACGACGCTAAGTTAGCGTCGGTATGCGATGGTCGTGGGCCGACTATCCAAGCGCAGCTCTGGCTCCCATGCGTCGAGCTATCGGTCTTCCTGCTCTCGTTGGCTCTTCCTAAGACAGAACTACTATATTTCTACTATCCGGGTACCTGTACATGTGTATCTACAGATTTCTAAGGCAATGTTGATCATCGGCGGCGACTCAAACGTTGCCAGACAGCTTTGCTACGATGGCGGCTCCCCCATCCGATGGCGGTGCTGCAGCAGCTCCAGTGCTCGCCTGTCCCCACCGCGGCGGAGATCCTGGGTGGGCGTTGCACTTCTCGCGTCTGGACGCGGATGCGAATCAAGCGGCGGGGCGACGCATTCCGGCCTGAAACAAGATGTCCAGAGCAGCAAAGTATTCCGCTGCGTTGGCTGCTAACGCAAATTTGTTGCGTAACGGACGGCCGCGCAAGCAACTCGGTAGCGGCCTGACGGAATGCAGGTACGCGCGCTGCGCGGTGGTTCACTACAACCGCGGAGTGCATGCCAATCCAGGTTTCCGAGGCGGAGGCGGAAACACTCAAACAGCTTCAACTTGACCATTGCCCTGTTCGGGGCCGCGGAGTGTGCTGGCGCCACCGACCGCTGGAAAGGGCGGGTGTGTACCATGCTTCCGGTACTGCGCCCGTCCCGTGCAACCGTAGAAACCGTACACTTTGACTGATGTCCCACTGCTAGCTTCGCGGCGCGCGATTGGCCAAGACCGGCCCGCGCACTGACTCGATCGGGAATCCAGCTGGCCGAGCGCAGCGCTCAGCGCTGGTCACCAAGCGCGCGCCCAGCTGCCTTCGCATTTCCCATTTGGCCCCCACAAGCGCACACGCCGTCCACTTCAGCCGAGCCGACAGCGACTGCCCAGCCGCGTCTCTCTCAATTTCGTTATCGCCCCCATCTTGCCCCGCATCCCTCCCCCACGACAATGCTGGCGCCCCCCTCGGACTACGGCTACGCGCCCTCGCCGGCCAACGGCATGAACGGCTATGAACAGCAACAGCTGCAGCACCAGCAGAGCGGCGAGCGACCCAAGATCTACATGCAGCCGCCCGCGATGGTGGGCGAGTACGGGCAAATGGTGCACCAGGGCACTCCGCAGCACGCCATGACCCCGCAACACGCTATGACGCCGCAGCACGCCGCCATGACCCCGCAGCACGCCATGGGCCCCAAGTACGAGAACGAGCCGCTCATGATGAACGTCCAGGGCGGCGCGCACTACTACCCGCCGCCGCAGATGGGCGCGCAAATGCTGCACGTTTCCTCGGACTACGAGTACGCCAACGGCTCCGTGATCACGCCTTCCAGCGCGCGCAGCGGCTCCAAGCGCTCGCGCGAGGACCTGAACCTCAAGGAGAAGAAGCGCATGTTCAAGCTCAACGACCGCATCAACCAGCTCAAGGAGATGCTGGACGAGGCCGGCGTGCAGACCAAGAAGAACAAGCAGTCCATCCTGGACAACGCCTCGCACTACATCGAGATGCTGCGCAGCAACCTGCTGATCGCCAAGCAGAAGGCGGAGCGCGCCGAGAAGCAGGCCGAGGCCTTCCGCGCTCAGGCGCAGAAGTCCTCGTCGGGCGCTGACAAGGTGGTGCGTGGCTGCTTCCAGAAGACCACGACGCCGCGCGTCGTGGTGGACATGAGCATGCAGACGGTGACGTTCAACGGCGCGTTCGTGAAGCACACGGGCCAGGCCGAGCCTGTGCTGAAGAAGCAGAAGACGCTGCGCTCGTACCTCTGCGCCGATCAGGACAAGTTAGATAGCATCATGAAGAAGGTTCGCGAGACCAACCAGTCGACGAGCGCGCTCGTGAAGGCGTCTGCTGCTGGTGGCAACGCGGTGCCCGTGAACCTGGTGGCGGCCGTCGTGACGGACGACTCCGGCAAGGCCACGAACGTCGAGTTCAGTCTGATCCCCGTGGAGCAGCTGACGTCCAAGCAGACCGAGGTCGCACACGACGAGGCGGAGACGTCTGCGGAGGAGTCCGCCACAGAGGACCAGCCGAAGGAAGAGTCTGCAGCCAACCTGCAGCTGTAAGCCTCGGTGGCAGGGCTGCAGCGGCGCTACTGGCGGGATGTGTACTATAAGGCGACGTTTGTCTAGGCCTGCCCAGCTACTAGGGTGCGGCCGACCGTCGTGCAAGACCGACGAGAGAGCGGGGCCCACACCCAGCTCGAGTTCCAGAGTGCTCGTGAGTGCTGAGTGTATGCGTAGTGTGAGAGTAAGAGTAAGCTTCAATGCAAAGGTGAATCATGTGTCCAAGGCGTTGCGTTGGTCGTTGGGTGTGCCAGTTCAAGCGTTGCGCTTGCCAGGAATGCCTGACCGAGGCCGCCGTACGCCAGCCACACGCGCGAGTTGCCTTGCGTGCTGGCCCTCTCGGCAGGCCCACACACAGCCGACCCGGCTTTGGGCGACAAGAACGCAGCCCCGAGCAGACAACGAGCAGCTTGGGTCCCAGCCAGCGTTCGGCTTGAATTCCATCGCGCGCAAAAGGCCTTGCGACTCACCACAGCAAAGGCGAGCGCTGTTGTCAGCGACTCAGCCACATCTTTTCAGCTTTCTGATCGAGCTTGGCCACTCCTCTCCCTGAAATCCAGGGACGCAGCGGCGGTGCGTGGGCTGCTGCATCGCGTCAAGCTGACGTAACGATAACTGAGGACCTTTCTTCAAACAATTCCCGGCAACCGTCCCTACCTCGGGAGGTGACCCCTTGCTCCTGCAGCACCACGCACCGACCACTGCCAGGAAGACCACGAAGACCAAGCTGGGAAACCGTTGCCGATGCTCGGTGAACACGAGGAGGCATGTTGCCGCCGTTGAAGTTGACCGGCTGGCGGCTCGATGGGGAAGTTTCGGCGCGGCTTCCTTTTTGTGTGACGGTAGCAGTCGTTGCATTGCAACACCGGTCGTTGAGTTGCGGCGTCGACAAGCTGACAGCGCGAGGACGCCGCGGGTTTACGGCCAAGTCAGATCTTGCCTGGACAGGCAAGCTCTGTGCTCTGCTCTGCGAAGCTTCATCCTTCTGAAACTCACCTCTAACGTCGCCAAGTTGATTCCCGCGCCTCGATGAATCCGCTTTGGTTCAGCGGGCTGCAATGCGAGACTCGCTGGTGCAACACGCATCTGATACAGTGCGGTTTGAAGCGGTGACAACTTCTTGCTCTGCACCGCGACGACGACCGAAAGCTGTCTGCTTCACGCCGAGCAGAAGGCGCGATGGCTTCGGTGTGCGTTGCTGCCTCGCACGTCTCGACACCGGCACCGCCGGCTGCAGGTTCAGCCGGCAACCTTCTGGTTCCGACCTCGCGCAGGCGCCGACAGCGGTGCTCTTTGGATCGCCTGCCAACTAGATCATGAAGCTCACGGTGAGCAGCGCAAGTTGAAGCGGAAATGGCTACATTCGAATTTTCAACCGATAGTATTTATTGATTCTATTTCGGCCAATGGCGTGCAGCTTGACTGCTGGAAGTTGCTCTCCAGCGTCCATACTCAAGGCAAGTGACTCGCCGGACGCAGCGTATCTTGGACGGCGGCGCCTGCTTGCAATGGACGCGTCCCGCCCTCTGCTGGGCGGCGACGCGGGCGACGAGGAGGAGCTCGGCGCGCGCTCGCCGGACTGCTTATCCAGGTACCTCTCGGCGGGCAGCAACGCTGGTCTCCCCAACGGGAGGGCGCTGAGCAACGGCCACTCGGGCAACGGCCACGCGCACGGCCAGACGCCCTACTTCGACGGCAAAGGCGACGAGGACCTGGAGGAGGACAAACAGTCGCTGTGCTGCCGGCCCTGCAGCCAGTGGCCGTGCTGGAAGTGGGTCTTCCCGGACCGCATCGGCGACTACGAGGACTTTGCCACGTCCGCACAGGTGAGCGAGCGCTGCATGACGACACCCAGTCGAGGAGATTAGAGACTGAGCGCTTGATGCACTTTGTGGCTGCTGTAGATGGGGGAGATCTACGCCCTGCGGCAGACAGCGCGCGAGCAGTTCGACCCGACACTGCCAGGTATTGAAGGACATAGTGCACATAGCTCAACTTTGGAGGAAGTGGAGTGTCACTCACACGCAGCCAATGATGCAGAGGACGACGACATGCTGCAGCACCTGTGGGGCGGCTTGTTCTCCACGCTGCCTTACGAGGGACGCGTCAACGTGCGCTGGCGTGACGTCGGATTCCAAGTGCGTAGGCCTTGAGCTCGACTTTGTCTTGCGCGTCTTTCAGCGCTGAGTTTCGCCGCCTGTTGCTCTTGTTGCAGAATGACGACCCTGCATCCGACCTCCGCACTTCGGGACGACTGGCAATACGCATGCTGCTCTACTTCTCTGATCATCTCAACGATGAGTTTAAGGTAAGGAGTGCTGCAGCATGCACAAGATGTAAAGGTACGATGCTCGCTCACTTTTATCTGTGTGTTTTGTTGCTTTGTTGTGTTTTGCAGCGCATGCTACGCGAAAACCGCTTCCCTGTGTGTCTGTGTGCGCTGAACCTGCTGGAAATGCTGTTGTGCCACTTGAAGCTCAAAGAGCCACTGCCCTTAGTTTGTCCATGCTGCGGCACGGAGAACGCCGAACTGGAGACCTCACAACAGCCAAGTCGGTCTCACCCCGAGCTGCGCGGCTTCACAGCATTGATGGGCGATGCGTCATCACTCGCATCGGCAGCATTCTCTCATCAACTCGCTTGCGCGGAGGGCGGACCGGCAGAAATCGCACTCGCGCACGTGTTCGCGCACTCGCTGCTCGTGATGGACGCCGTGTGGAAGCAGCAACTGCAGCGTGACCCGACCACGACGCTGATGCACTTCCGTGAAGCTCTGGTTGAGACGCGAGTGCGGATCGTGTCGTTCCTCTCGCGTCGACGCATGCCCCTCACGCTGGCAGAGCTCGATGTATGGGGGTATCGGCAGCGGGCACGGTGCCGCAGTTTCCGCAAGATGGCGTAGCTCTCGGTCGATACGTCAGGTTTTGTATTAGGTAGTGGTAAGTAACTAACAAGCTAGCAATCGAAGCATACACACGGCGAGCAAGACAGCTCGCCCCGCCCAGCCATCGGGCTTACTCCACACTCCAGTCAATGGGCTCCTTGCCATGCTCTTTGAGGTAGCTGTTGGCACGCGAGAAACATTTGGAGCCCAGGAACGGCGCGTTGGTCTTGGTGGCGCCCAGTGGTGACGGGTGCGAGGAGCGCACCACCAGGTGCCGCTTTGTGTCGATGAGCGCGCCCTTCTCCTGCGCCGGTTTTCCCCACAGCAAGAAGACGACGTTGGAGGCTTCCTTGCTGACCTTGGAGATGACGGCGTCAGTGAACTGCTCCCAGCCGCGCTTCTTGTGCGAGTTCGCCTCTCCTCGACGCACCGTAAGCACAGTGTTGAGCAGCAACACGCCCTGCTTGCTCCAGCAAGACAAACAGCCGTGTGTAGGGCGCGCGATGCCCACGTCGTTCATGGCCTCCTTGAAAATGTTCTTGAGGCTCGGTGGCGGTGGGATTCCGTGGCGCACCGAGAAGCTCAGGCCGTGTGCCTGTTGCGGTCCGTGGTACGGGTCCTGGCCCAGAATCACCACCTTGAGGTCGGAGAAAGCGCAGTCTCGCAGCGCCGCGAATACGTCGGCCGGCGGCGGGTAGATGGTCTTCTTGCGGCCTTCCTCGCCCTCCAGGAACCGCGTCAGCGCCTGGAAGGAGCCGCGCGAGAACTCCTTCTGCAACACGTCGAACCACGTTGCATGCAGCAGCGAGCGCAGCTGCGAAGTCTTCTGGAGATCCACGAAGCTTGTCACGGGCAGCGTCTCGCCCTGTTCATCGTCCTGCGCTTTGGCCTGCTCCTCGTCGTCCTGCGCCTCGACGGCCGCCTCGCTTGCCTCGACTTGGGAGACCTCGGTGGCGATTTCGGTCGCCTCGATCTTGCCCGGGGATCCCTGCTGCGTCGTGCGGCGCTTCTTGGCCGGCGCCTGGCCGAAAAACGAGCGGATGTCGCGCGTGGCGCCACCCATGTCAACACTGCAAGACTGTTATTTTTTGGATGGCTATTTTTTAAAATTAATTGCGTCCGTCGTTCTCAGGCTTTTTTTCTAAAACAATTATTGTGCAAACGTTTTGTCGTTTTGACTTGGAGATCTTTTATTTACATAAGGTCAAATCAAATCATGTGGTGTACTTGAGGCAGAGTCTGGTTGTTAATTTCTTATTCCCACCGCGGCGGTGTACTTGAGACAGATTCCGGTTGTTAAATCGATCTCGATTTATTATAACTCGAGGAATGCCGCTGAACAATATAATGCATTGCGGACTTTACCAACATGTAGAGCATAGATATACACTAAATTTCAAGCGCTAGCATTCCTGTACGACCAAGTAGTCGAGCACAAAAGCTCCTCGAGTACAACATCAGGGACCATTTTCGGGCGAGTGTAATCATGCCGGTTTTCGACAAATCACATTGTGTTTCTGAAGGACCTTTACAAAACATAGGATGAAATACCACCATCGTTTTGATTTATCCTGGTATCGGCACTGTTGATTGGTAGAATCCTAACTGAATGTGAATGCATGCGGAGGTGGGGGGGGGGGGGGGTCATGGGTGCCAAGTTTGAGAGGAGACTTCTGAAGTAATATGGCGAAATATGAGTCATCAGTGCTGGCAAATGCGCTTTGGAGTCTATAACCTTCGCTTGGACCCTTTGCTTTATCCTTTCTATCTGTGGCGGATCTTTTAGATTTGAGTGACCCCCACAAATTATCCTTTTCCGGTGTACTTGACGCATAATCCGGTTGTTAAAATCGCAAATAAAAGAATCGCTAAAAGACGTCATGCAGTTTCGACTTCAGTTATACAATCTGCCCCATAGCTACCAGCATTAGATACGCAAATTCGGGCTTTTGCTTTGACTCCTGCAGTACACAGCGCACCCAGGAAACGTTAAGCTGCCAAGGCAACCATTTTCGAGAGATGATGATGCATCACCACAATGGCGGGAACAGATTTCTCTTTTTATGCCATTCGTAACTAAAAAGCGAAGATACCACTCATTCTCGCAAAATCCCCCCTCCATCCAGTGGCTTCTGAATCTACGGCTACTGCTGTCGTCCGCGCACGGCTCCGGCGCGAGGAACTGTTGATTTACGTGATTGTTGGTGCTGGCCGGCTGCTGGTGCTGCATCTACGGCTACTGCTGTCGTCCGCGCACGCCTGGGGATCGTGATGACGCGATGCAAAAGTAGCGGAGGGGGGGGCGGACATGGCCTTCTCCACGAGGCCGGGGGTCGAGATGGACTCGGACGTCCAGAAATCGTTGTCGGTCGTGCTGAGCACCATCAAGGTCGACAGGTTGTTCATGAGCGAGCTAAGTACGGTCTTGGCCTGCTGGGGGTGAGCCGTAGAAGAAACACTGGAGCGTGGACTTGACCTTGAGGCTGAAGCGGATGAAGATCAGGTCGTTGTTGTTTCCACTTTGAGCCCACTTCTGTGTACCGAGGAAGGCGTTGGCGTTGTCCTCCTGAGTCGGTTTGATGCTCGAGTTGAAAGCGATGGTACGCGCTTCGAAGGAGGCTAGATCGTCTTGACCTTGAAGCTCAGCACCCCGGTCATGGAGCTGGCGGCGCCGCGCACGGTCCTCGTTCTGCTTGACGCCGGTGGCCACGGTGGCGCCGTTAGCTAGGGCCACCCGCAAGACCTCAACGTTGTCCAGCACTGTGCCAGCGGTACGCGAGAGGGTTTCCAAACCCGAGCCTGCCACACCGGTCATGTCGACGTCGGGGCAGCGGCCGTTGGGTAGAGTGTGCTTAAACTCTCCCATGCACACTGTACTTAGCGGTCTCCGAGATCATGACAGGGCCGCCGTATGACAGCAGACCAGTGGACGCGTCGCACTTGTGATGCATTGACTTGTCTAGCCTACGGCTGTAACTTCAGGCTTAGATGCCGACTCACCATACTCGCGCAGTGGCATGTTCCCGCAGACCTTCGTCGTCACTAGATTCATCGTTCACCGAGTAATACGTGCGCGTCTCGGCGATTGAGTTGCCGGAATCTCAACGCTGGCATTGATGATTGGCTGCAATTCTAATTTTGTGATTGGCTGATATCAAAACGGTGGTGCATGACACGACACCAGCAGCTGGAAGACATGCCGAAATGGAGCCGAGACGCTGTTTTGTAGCGGTGATAGCAGGCTTACACTTGGTAGCTGCGCTTCTGCAGTAGCACTATCCCTCCTTTGAAATGCACGAAACCACGAACGGGTATGGCTGAAGGACTCTCAGCGGATCTTTTAATACTTGAGCTCCCCCACAAATATGAGATTTCCGGTGTACTTAAAATAAAACGAGGTCAAAAGAAAGGGACAGATCGATCTATTTAGGCCGGCTAATGACTCGACCTACGACAAGCCAAATCACGGTTCGACGTGTGGATCTGGGCATAACGAGGTCGATCTACGGTAAATCGATCCCTTTTGCGTTTTCAAAAGCGCAATTCGACGTCGATCAAAGTAAAACGAGGTCGTCCATGCTACCACCTCTGTTTTTTGCCCTGATTTGGGGACCGGCCTTCCTCGATCTAGGCCATAAAACAGGGCGACATTCTATCTGCAAAGCACCATAAAATTTAGCGTACATGTACCCAAGAGTATACCCTCTACCCTGTTCCAGAAATGTTTCCTGTTATCGAGCGACTAATCTATAAACCGTACTCGAGTACGAATAAGTCGTGGATAGTCAATCGGCGCTAAGTAGTGCACATACACCATCTCCTGCATGATCTAGCGCATCTAGTACGGATTAGCATTCTTTTGGCACTTTTAGAACGTGCCATATCGGAGCCGGCTTCGAAACAAAACCCTCTTTGATTAACGACTAAGTACGAACACTAACTGGGTCATTCCTGAAAACACAATTTTAATGCGTCGTAAAGGTGAAAGAAAACGTGCGTGAAGCATTTTTGCGATTCCGTGCCGACACTTTTTGTGCAGTTGCCAGAAGAGGTTAGTGTCTCTTACAAACCCAAGTGTTTTCTCTCAACGACCAGCGGGCAGGTGTAACACCACGCCAGCAGTAGTCAAGTCAGCATAATCAGCTGGCTAGGTCGCCTCGCTGGTCTCAATCTTCACATGAACCTTCGACTCACCATGGGCGTCGCTGTCGGGGTCGCCACAAAAGACCGGAGAGAGTGCCGAGCGGAGCAGGACCGTATGGGCCGGTCGCTTGGTGCTCCCACCCAGCAAGCAAGCTCATCGCCGACAACTGGACATACAGTCGGGACCACCGCCCTACCATCCATCGCGGAGCCAACTTCGCTGCTGGACCAAGGAAGGAAGGAGAGGCCATCGACGACCCGCTGTTCCTGGAGGTCATTCCGCTGAGCGAGCTCGTGTATAAGGCGACAACGGTGCACAGTGCGCACTTCGACGCATTGAAGGAGCAACCGTGGACGCTGCTGTCCATCGAGACGGGCGGTTGCACGGAGGGCTGCAAGTACTGTTCGCAGTCGTCGCTCCAGAAGCTGTTCCCCAAGCCCGATCATACCAAAAAGATACAAAAAGGAAGGAAGTCACTGCTTACGGTATCGTGACTTTACATTCGTCTTGATATGCTGATACGCTATGAACAGTAGCTGTGGGGAATATCGGAAATGGTACTGACCACTACCGCTGCTATTGCCATCACTCATAACCACTAAATCATCTCGAGTGAACGAGCCAGTTGAGTTTCGTAGATGACATAGAAACCATGCTGAAGCATCACCATCCTCGATTAGCGCTATACCTAGAGCAACAAGGACAATATTGTGGCTCGGACGGAGCATAATAGCGGAAAACAGGGTACCCTCAATATTATACTAGAGGTGACACGCGTCTAACGAGAATCCGGGCAAACATGACGGGAAAAATATTAATACCTGTTGCTCAGACACTGACTCACCTGTTGCCCCAGATTTTGTAGGAATTTCTGTTGCCCAGGCTGAACACCTGTTGCCGAGTCTGATTATCTGTTGCTGTTGAATCCAACAGAAAACTCAGTGCTGAAAACCTGTTTCAAGTTTTCAGTGCTGAAGTTCTGTTGTCTATTTTAGAGTGGAAGAGCTGTTCCCTATTTTAAGTGCACACACTCCTTCTCGCTCTCGAGGTTTCGCAGCCCCCCTCCTCCTTCTTCCTTCTCACTCTGGCTCTAGTGCGCGACCCACCACATCCCCAGCACCATGGAGGCACTCTCCTTGCCTGTGAGCGATGATAGCGACAGCACTGAGGTGTTAGAGTATGATAGCGACCTTGCCGACGAAGACATGCACAGTGCCACCGCCTCGGTTGAAGATATGGACCAAGGCGACGATGCGGAGTGCAGCAGGGCTGCCGTAGCTTTAGCGTCAGAGGAAGACGTAACAGACTCACAGAGTCTCAGCTTAAGATAGCCCGTTCTAATTCCAGAACGTACGAGTCCGTACACCTTACGGACTCCAAGAGTCAACCCTTAACTCTTAACTGTGTGAATCTCAAACTGAATGTATTTCCCTTTATTGCAGCAAAGCCGCCTACGGTGTGAATGTATCCGGTTCACTATCTAGCATAGTGAACCCTAGTCATATGCATAATCAGTGGCTCTGAATCCATGTACTGGTTCTCCTACTGATTTAGGTTAGACATTGTGTAGCCACTTCGTAACCCTTCGGGTGCAGACATGTAACAGGGTTACACGCACAAGTGGCTACAGTCACTTGTAACTCGACGTCTGTTAGAGGTTTGAAAAACTTTCTCGACCTTGATGTAGACACACCAAAGGCTACATACATTTAGGATCACCACGACGGGTGGTCCATAGAGACTTAGGATTCCTATTGGCTGAGAGCAGCATCTCTTAGCCAATGAGCGACATGCATAGCATAGGAATTCTGCCAACCAGCCGTTGGCAGACTCCTAGTTTAGAATATTACATTTAGAGGAAGTCAGAAACATAAAACAAAAATAGCAGTTCTCATTTTAACCCAAAAACATTATTTGGATCGTTTATTTAGATTAATCTATACTCGGAGGCCCGGGTATAATTAACTCTAATTTAAACTACGCTACGCTTCCTCACACACGTGCGCGCACGTGTAACTAAAGTAGTGAGCCAAAGTAGGCCCATTACACCTGGTAGCACTTTGTAGTCCGTCCAACGACCGACTACCTGAGTTCGTACGTCACCGCACGAACGCGGAGCTAAGAACCTTCCCATGGATACGGAGGTGTCCATGGAAAGTCCACTACGCCTGCAACTCACGTTGGACGCGCTGACTGTCCCCACCTGTCGGACCCAGAGTGGGAAGCTCTTCAACGACTGTCAACAGTCATTGGTGAGGCGGCTGTAGCTACGATGCTGCGTACGCTAACGCCGACAGAGCAACATGGTGTTGCTCTGGGATTCATCATGAGGGAGCAGCGAGATGCTGCTTCGTCTACCACGGTGTCGTCGGGGACGACACCGCGCGCGCAATCGCTGAAGCTCAGCGTGAGCAATTACGTTGGAAGAGAGGGCGAGCCTCTCCTCCGTTGGCTTGGCGAACTCGACACTGCCATCGCGGCTCGACGTATCGTCGACCCGTTGTCCAAGGTTGCGTTCGCCATGTCATGTCTTGGCGGACGAGCGAGAAGTTGGGCGTATGGACGCTGACTCTCGGATCCTACGTGCTTTAGCACGTACGAGGGTTTCAAGGAAGAGCTCAGACAAGCGTTTGAGCCACCGCAAACGAGTTCCGGTCGAGGGCGGAGTTCCTCGACCTGCAGCAGGGCAAGCATGATGTCCATGCTTACGCTCAGAGAGCACGGTACTTGGTCTCGAACATCGTGACCAATCCGATCGACGAGGCGACCAAGGTCGTCACGTTCATGAAGGGGCTGAGAGATGGGCCTGTGAAGACCTATCTCTTCCGTGAGTACCCGAGTACTCTAGAACCTGCAATTACTCTTGCAATGCAGGAGGAGTTTAGTCTGCGGCAGGCTAAGCTGCATGCACATGTGCCGAGGCCACAGCCACGCCCGGTAGTGAGGACGGGAGGCCCAGAACCCATGGACCTCTCGAGTGCTGCAACTGCTGGACCCCAGCAGTCGCAAGGAAACAATGTGCGATGCTACCGATGCGGTAGAATCGGTCACTTTGCTCGGGAGTGCACGGCCCCCGTGCACCAGCAGGGTGGCTATCGCGGTGGTGCCGGGCACCGTCGCAACCAAACAAAAAACGCTGGACGCCAGTAGGCGCGGGGCGCCCTACTGGTAATGCAGTTCCGCGTGTCGACCTTGGACACGCGACACTGAGGACCGCAGCCCCCAGTGAGATTCATTCTCGCTGCAAGAACCAAGATGACAAGCATATCCTTGTCATCCTGAACGTGAACTCGATGAGAGCAAGCGGCTCTCTTCGTGCTTTGGTAGATTCTGGCGCGTCGAAGAACTTTGTACGACTGCGAAGTCTATCAAGGCTTGACTTCGAGGATTTAAAGATAGCTCGAAGTATTTTGGAAGTACGACTGGCAACGGGTGCCGTCGTGAAGACTGGTACGCGTGCGCTTCACGTATGAAGATCAAGAGTTTGTCGAGACCTTTATCGTCCTGGATCTGGACGATAAGTTTGACATTGTATTGGGCATGCCGTGGCTTGCACGGCATGATCCGGTCATCGATTGGGAGAAGCGCACACTCGTGCGCTTCGGTCGCGACAGCGGAACAGTGAGTGATGGCCCTGTTGCCGCTTCGCACGCACCGACAGGTGCGCGCGA